GCAATCGAGTGAGAGAGGGAGAGAGAGAGAACACGTCCCCCAGACCCCCAGCCAGCCCCTCCCCATCCACAGGCCACCAGGGGCCTGTCTCCTGTCCCTCTGGACCAGTTTGGTCTGACCCAGAATTCCTCGTCAGTGCAGCAGGTAGGGGTGCTTTCCCGTGTCTGGCTTCTATTGGCAGGACGCTTCTGAGACTTGTCCAGGCTGCTGTGTGTGTTTGTAGCTCTTTTTTTCATTGCTGAGCCCACTGCGCGGACGGGCCGCAGTCCGTGAAACAGTGTCTGGGGTGGGCATTTGGGTTGCTTCCAGTTGTAGCCATTAGGAATAAAGCTGACACGAACATTTGGGGACAATCCTCTGTGTGGGCATAAGCACTTGTTTCTTCGGGTAAACATCTCGAGTGGGGCTGCTGGGTTGCATGGAAGAATGTATTGAACTTTTGAAGAACTGTCTGCCTGTTTCCTAAGTGTCTGCCCCAAAAGCCGGGTTGGCAGCAGCAGGGAGAACTGCTCGGGCCTGTGGGGGCATTGATGGACCATGCCTCTTGCACAGCACACCCCCCCTGCTGCCCCGCTGCCCTGGTGCTGCCCACCGCAGGTGCCCTGTCCGCCTTGGCAGGGTGCAGGAGTGAACACACTCAGCTTCCATCATCATTTCCAAATCAATGTGTATTTCACTTCCACTTGTCTGGGTGGTTTTCCTTTCTAATCTTTTGTTATTTTAACAATCACACAAATAATACATGGCTAGGGCAAAGGAATTAGAACATCAGTGTAAAAATAATTTTTAAAATCCCCCTTAAATCTCTCCGACCAGAGATTCACTTCCCAGGTTCTATACTGCCACAGGGAAAACGAAGATAAATAAGCTACGTTCCTCAGCTTCAAGGAAGGGGGCTCCAGCCCAACGGACCCGAACACAGAGTCCAGAAATACTCTTGCATTTGTGGTCAAATGATTCTTGACAAAGGTGCCAAGTCCACTCAGAGGCGAAAGGACAGACTTTTCAGCAAACGGAGTTGGGAAAACGGAACACCCACCTGTAAAGAGTGAAGTTGGACTCACTTTACACTGTGGACAGAAATTCGCTCAACACAGGTCCAAGCTAAAGCTATAAACGTCTCAGAAGAAAATAGAGGGAAATGCTTCATGGCATTATCTTTGGCAAAGATTTCTTAGGCATCACACCAAAAGCAGGGGCGACAAAAGAAGAAATAGATACGCTGGGCTCTGTCAAACCTGGAAGTGTGTGTGCATCAGCGGGCGCCTCGGCAGACGGCGAGGCCGGCTCGGGACGGGGCAGAGACTGCGCATCGCGGATCTGGGAATGAGTTAACATCTAGAATAAAGAACTACCAAACACAAGCAACCGATTCAAAATTGGGCAGAGGACTTACGTAGCATTTCTCTAGAGAAGACAGACAAATGGCCAAGAAGCCAGTGAAACTATGTCCAAGCTCGCTGACCATTACGGAAATGGAGGTCCCAGACACAGTAAAGTGTCACTTCCTACTGATTAGGATGAATATTATCAAGAGAGAAAACAAGTGCTGCTGCCCTGGCTGGTTGGCTCAGCAGTTAGAGCGCTGGTCTGGCCCAAGCAGACCAAAGGGTCTCGGGTTTGATTCCTGGTCAAGGGCACATACATGGGTTGCAGGTTTGATCCCTGGCCCCGGGCATGCAGGAGGCAAGCAATCAATGTGTCTCTTTCGCACTGATGTCTCTCTCTCTCTCTCTCTCCTTCCCTTCTACTCTAAAAAACCAGTGGAGCCTGGCTGATGTGGCTCAGTGGTAAAGCATCAACCCACGCACCAAGAGGTCTCTGGTTTGATTCCCGGTCAGGGCACATGCACAGGTTGTGGGCTCGATCCTATGGGGAGCATGCAGAAGGCAGCCAATCAATGTTCTCTCTCGTCGACATTTCTGTCTCTCTCCTTCTCCCTTCCTCTCTAAAAATCAATGAAGAAAAGAATTTAAAAAAATTAAAAAGGAAATTCTGACACAGGCTACAACATGAACCTTGAGGACATTATGCTAAGTGAAATAAGCCAGTCACAAAAGGACAAATACTACCGCATGATTCCGCTCACATGAGACACCTAAAGTAGTTGAATTCATCGGGACAGGAAGTGGACCTGTGGTTGCCAGGAGCTGGGGGAGGGAGGAGGCAGAGCAAGGAGCTATGTTTGATGGATACAGTTTTAGTTTGGGAAGCTGAAAAAGTTCTGCAGATGGATGGTGGTGATAGTTGCACAACAATGTGATGTACTTAATGCCACCAAACTGTACACTTAATGGTTTAAGAGCTTTTATGTTGTGTATATTTGCCACGATTAAAAAAAAATTGTTTTGTGTGTGTGTAAATCATCTATCAGCTCTTGTCACTTTCCCGCTGAAATCTCTCCAAGGACTTTCCATCAGCTCTTCCTGGACCTCAAGGCTCTGTACAGTCCTGTCCTCCAACCTCTCCCCTCCCGCCTGATGCAGATCAGTGAAGACCTGACAGTTCTGCAAGCTGCCAGCCTGGTGGCAGCCATCACGACGGTGGGCTCTGGTTTGCCCATCATCCCTGTATCCAGGCCATCATCTGTAATGACAGCCTGGCATAATTACATTTTTACAATTTGTGTAATTATACTGCACCGAGCTAAATGACCATTATCACAATTATTAGTTATTAAGCACTCCTAGCCACGCAAAACTAATAAGATGTAGCTTCAGCTCTTAAATGTCTTCCTTCCTAATTCCACCTCAGATTCAATTTAGGCCAGTCCTCCTTCTTGGAGAAGGATGGGGAACTTCTGGTTTTGGCCTGAGGCATAATTTACATGCCTGAGCTCACCTCAGCTTCTCAGTGATGGTGGGAGCAGACGCTTTACCTTGTTTGCAGGTGTGGAGACTGAGAATCAGGCTGGGGAAGCCAGTGTGTAAACCGGTGAGGTTCAAATTTAGATGTTTCTTTAAAAAAAAAAAAAATGTTTTTATTGATTGTTGAGAGAGGGGAAGGGAAAGAGAGAAACATCGATGTGACAGAGAAACACCAATCCGCTGCCTCCTGCACACCCCCACTGGGGATAGAGCCTGAAACCTGGGCATGTGCCCCGACCAGGAATTGAATGGGGACCTCTTAGTCCATGGGACAATGCTCAATCCACTGAACCACACTGGCCAGGAAAAACTTAGGTGTTTCTGACCACAAAGTAACCACTCCTCTCATGCAGTGCGGTGATCTGGCTTATTACAATGGGCTACTTTTTTTTTCTTGTTTACACCTTATGTGTCAAATACTGTGGTATATGCTAGCCCAGTGGGGGAAACTTATGAGCAAACGAATCATGCTAAAATAGCGTCCTAGGTCAGGGTTGGAAACTGAAATGCTCGCAGGGGCCAACCAGGCAGTTGCTTCCCTGGGACATGCTGATATCTGACTGCAATTAGCATTGGAGCTATTGGGGGTGAGAGTCCAGAGAAGGCTCAGTATCCCCTTGCCAGGTGAGCACCTCAAGTGCACTCACAACAGGACTTTAAGCAGGTGAAGAATAATCTCCTCAGGCAGGCAGGGGACTATTTCCACTGACAAAGAGGCTCAGATGCATGGGATGGGGGTTAGGTCCTCCCAACTATCCCCATTCTAATTCCCACTCTTCCGGATCAATAGCCTAGCTTCAGGGAAAAGACCTGGTGAAGGTGCGACTTCAATTTATCTTGTAATCATGCACCAGGTAGGGTTAAAGGTAGGTCTGACCTTTAGCCTTATCAGCCCCAAGGCTACAAAAGATAAGGAACCACCTAGGGCCAGCACAGGGTCATCCTGTGCCAGGAGGCTCCATTCTCATTGCAGCCTGCCCCGCAATGAGCACTTGATCCAGGCAAGGACAGGTGAGTTCACTCAACCATTCTGCAGGCGAGGTGAGGTCGTCTCTGTACCAGCACAATCATTCAGACAACAAACCCCGGCTCCCATCTTCCTGGGCCTGTTTCCTAGGACCATGTACATATGTCCCGAGGTTCAATCAGGAAAGCAGAAACTTTAGCTCTTTCCAACGAAAGGGACTTATTGCCAAGAATGGACTTCCGAGGTGTTGGGAGAGCTGCAGGAGCAGGAGGGAAAGGTGTTCTGAGTGAAAGCGGAGGAGGATGCTACCCAAAGCTCAGGAAGCTGGTACTGCCCCTTGCTCGGAGCTCAGGAGCCCAGGAGCCCAGACCGGCCACTACTAGAGGGGCTACTGCTAAGTGGAAACCCAGGGAGGGTGAAGTGGCTCAAACCACCTCCGCCATGCCCTGCACTCCCCACCCTGCCGCCAGAGCCTTCACGGAAGCAATGACCTGCCAGTCTCCCTTGGAGGACCTGAGCAGAAGTAGGCTGGCTGGGGCCCTGGAAAGTGCAGTTAACTGGGACACAGATACTGCAGGGGGCTAGGACCAGCGCTGCAGAAATAACGAGCGCACCTGCTGGGGGCTGTGGCGATAAAGTGGGCTAAGGGACAGCGGCGCCAACAACCCAGGTCGTTCTGAGCTCCCCGAGAGCTCCTGCCTCAGGGCCTTTGCATCTGTGGTTCCCTCTCCCAGGCAAGCGCGTTCTCCCTGCCCGGCCTTCCTCCGGCCGCCCCGACGTCTCTGCATCCTCTTCCCGCAGGGTCCTCTCCCGGCCTCCTTCTGGAAGGCTGGCTGCGGGGAAGCGCTCCTCTGTGCTCGCAGCTGCATCCCCGTCCCAGCGGAGAAGGCACCGAATACAGAGTGGCGACCGAGGGTGAAGTCTTTCCCCGCCTCCTGGAGGCTCTCTTACCACGGTCCACCTGCTCTGGGCAGCACCACCCTCCCTCGGGGGACCGCACGCCCCACCCCTCCGTTCTGGCGCCCGTCGGCGCTCCTCCCGGCCCCTCCCCCCGGGCTCCTTCCGCGCAGCCGCGGGGGCGCGCGGGGCATCATGGGTCTTGTAGTCCGGCCCGCCGACGCACCGCCCCGGCACTACAACTCCCACGGGGCAGCGGGACGCCGCTCCCGCGCCGACCGAGTCGGCCGGCCACCTTGCGGCGGGTCCCGGCTGCCTCCGCGGGGGAGGGGCAGGAAGATGGCGGAGGTGGTCGTGGGCAGGGACAAGTGCGGGGAGCAGCGCCTCGTGTCGCTGCCCCTGTCCCGCATCCGGGTCATCATGAAGAGCTCCCCCGAGGTGTCCAGCATCAACCAGGAGGCGCTCGTGCTCACGGCCAAGGCTACGGTGAGGCGGGGGCCGCACGGGGCGGAGTGAGGTGCGGGGCGCGGGGATGGGGGCCGCCGGGAGCGGCCGCGCTCGCCGCTGGCTCCCTTTCGCGGGCTCGCGCATGCGCGCCCTTCCGCGAGCCGCCTCGCTTTCTCGCCACGCCGCGCGCGCGCGCGCCCCAGCCCCCGCGCTCCTCCCTTCGGCCCCGCCCTCCGCGCGCCGCTCCCGGCCTCCCTTGCGCCCTCCTCGCCCCGCCCACCCCGGCTGCTCCCGGCCTCCCCCGCGCGCCGCCCCGTCCTCCCTCGCGCGGGATCACCGGGGCAACGGCGCGAGGGGGCGCGGGCCTGTTGTTCCTCCTCCAGCGGCGTCGCGGAGCCCCGGGCCCCAAAGCTTTCCCCTCTCTCGCACTCGGCCTGTTCCGTGGTTTCGGGGCCCCGGCTGCCCAGACGGCCCAGTGAGGGCCCGGGCTCCGTCACGCGAAGCAGCCCGAGGGCTCAGGGCAGTTGCCTTCGACAAGTTGTTGAGCGACATCGGAAACGGGGTCCATCCTGAGCTTCCGCCTGTTGTCTGTCTGATTTATAGGGAACCGCGAAGACAAAGTATTCCGGAGCCGAGCAGAAATTTTGAATGGTCTCTTGCTCTCTCTCTTTTTTTTTTTTTTTTTTACTGTACAGCTTGGTCATTAAACATTTATGACTCATTGTTAAATGTTTTTCTTGAGTTAAAAATCTAAAATAAACTTTAGGGAAATGCCTGCTTCCCCACCAACTTTGATACGACTTGGTTTCCTTCTGACCTCATATTTCTTTTTTCCGCACCCGGTGGTTTCCTGTCATTTGAGAAACCAAGATGATGTGCAATCATCTAATCTTAATGAGATTTAAAATTTTCAGTTCTATGGCACATTTTCAAGGCACACCTTTCATCGCACCTTTTCATCTGTTGTAGGAACTCTTTGTTCAGCACCTAGCCACCTACTCCTACAGACATGGCCGTGGGAAAGAAGCCAAAGCGCTTACTTACAATGATCTGTCCAGTGCTGCAGAGGAATCAGAAACTTTTCAGTTCCTCGCAGGTACTTGGTTTTTGAAATATTCTCGTTGAAAAATGCTTAGTAATTTACAGCCTTTCTTCCCTACTTTCCCTGAAATAAACATTTTGCTGCTTTCTCTAGGTGCCAAAGTTACCCATGACCTGGCACAGTTTTGTCTGTTGAGCATGTTTGTAATGGGGCTCACCTAGAACAATAATGAGGCCAGCAACCTCCACAAGGGTGTTTGGCTGGCTGAGCCTGGCAGACCCACCCTCTCAGACTCCTCTTTGCCACTTGTCTAGTTGGCCCCAGAAACAAACTAATTGTTGTAGAACAAGCTATGTGGGCCATGGCTAAAAAGGGCTATTCTTCCCCTGGGGCCGGCCAGCCTGTCTCAGGTAAGTTGGGTGGGTTGCTCACAGGCTTACCAAAGCATAGAGAAGAGAGAAGCACATGGTTTGCAGTCAGTGAAATGGAAACAGGTCTCTAGCATTCGTCAAGAGATCATCCAGAATGGTAGTCTGATTTTGTCTTGTTTGGAACCTATTCTAGAGGTCAAAGCAGGAACTAGTACATTTTGAAATCTGCATGGTCTGCCATAAGCAACTACTAATGTTACCTTTATGTTTTTAAGATATATTACCAAAGAAGATATTAGCTAGTAAATATCTGAAAATGCTTAAGGAGAAGGATGAAGAGGATGAGGAGAAAGATGACGATGGCGAAAGTGATGATGATGAAGCAGAATCCTAAACCCAAAACAAAATGCTTTAAAAGTCAGCCCGGTGAGGATCCTCTTGGATTAGCACAACACTGTGTGACTTTAGTCTTCACTTTCCAGAGACTTCGAAGACACTGTATTCTTTTCTGGCTGAGATGGAGGACCTCATGCACCTACACCATAACGAGCCAAAAGGAAAGTTGTCAGGCCCAGTGTTGGTGGAGGCACCAAGCAAGAGCCTGTCCACCAACAACATTTCTGCTTAACTTCCATGTAAAGGTGGAGCTCAGAGAGCTTCTGAACATCAGTGATGTAGGAAAGGCCACACCCGGTTTTAGTTCTGCATGTAGTTTGTTACGTTTTGTTACACTGTGTGTAGTATGTTAGTTACATTTGCATTTTGTATTTCAGAAAAATCTGTTTGAGTATTTGTCCAAATAGTACATTTTTAACTGTAAAGACAAAAAAATTTTTTAATTAAAAGTTGTATGTATTTTTACAGTAAAATGTCCTATAAATCTAATTTTAGAATCCCCTGTTGTTCTAATGCCTTGCTTATTACCTGAGACTTTTATGAAATTTAAAAATAAGCATTTCTAGCACTATTATTCCCAGAGAAAAATTTTAAGTCAAATCATAAATCCAAGAAGAAAATTTACCTCTGCACATTTTTCTTAAAAAGCACTTAGAACATTTTGTATGTCGAAGATCTGATTTACTGTTCCTTCTTTACACCTGTAGTAGTTGTCTTACTCTCCACGAGAGAACCACATGCTCTGCGTGTTTTCACATGGAGCACCTTTTTGGCTCTTGTCATGTTAGCAAGTAGTCAGGTAGCCACTGATGTTTTCTGTCTCCCTTGTTTTTAAAGTTTCTTTTTAAGATAAATTTAAAACCCACTGGTGTGTGGGTCTGAGTTTTGACAAATGCTGAGTCATATAACTACAGCAATTAAGATACTACCATTTTATTACCTCCCCAAATTTCCTCCAGGTCCAGCTCCTTCCTGCCCTTGTACCTTGGCAGTCACTGAGCTACCCTCTGGCCCTGCAGCAGGCATCAGCACTTCCCGAGATGGGGAAAATAGTTCACGTTCCTTGGGCTACGTAATGTCTGTCACAGTCCTCAACCCTGCCGTTGTGCCCAACCAGCCAGAGATGGGACCTGAGGAATGAGTGTGGCGGTAGCGCAAGAAAACCATTTCCGGACACTGAAATTGGTTTTTGTATAGTTCTCGTGGGTCTAAAATTTTAAAAAATTCTTTTAACCACTTGAGAATGTAAAAGCCACTCCCGTCTTACAGGTCTTACACAGTAGCCCCCAGACCTGGGTGTTCTGACCGTCACACATCCGAGGCTCCCGTGTTTGCGGGCTCAGCAGCCCTCCCCACTGCTGAGCGGGCCGCGGCATGGGCACGCCAGTTCGTCCAGCCCCAGGGGGATGGAGAACTCCCTTTGGACAGCTCACAGACAGTCCTAGGAGCGTTTATGTAGAGACCAAAACCTCAGCCTGCTTGTTACCATGTATATCCTAGTATTTTCAGACATTTTTTTTTTTCCTTACTCCAACCTTCCTTTCCTTTCCCAGCACCACTCTTCCTTTTGGTACAGAGCCCAGGGAGGCCACCGGGGGTTTGAGCCACCCAGTGCATGTAACTATAGCCAGGGCAGACGGGGCTAAGGGACGCACCAGGCCGCGAGCCCCGGGTATGGCCAGGTCTGCTTCCCACACAACATGGAGCTCAGGGCTTTGCACTCGAAGGGGGCTCAACTGAATAGTTTTTTATTTCTTCCCTTCTCATGGCTGTAAAGTAGAAGCACCCAACTCATCCTAGAGACATTTGTCCTGCCATTCAATCCATTCCTGTGGCTTCCATCCCCAAACTCCCAATTCTCGGGCAGTGCCCGGCTCTGTCGAGTACACTTCAAAGAGTAGGCCCTAGGTGTCTGTCACTGACGGTGTGCTCCCATCTCGGAAGCCTGTGCAGAAGGAACTTCCCAAGTAAACATGAGTAATTGAAGACCTTTGGGAGAGGCAGCTGTAAATACAAGGAATTTTATTTTTTTGCTGACATACTATGAGGCAAAACAAAATTGACACCATACAAAATAACTTTATAAAATATCATTCACATATTATATCGGATTTACAGCATTCTTTGCATGTTAAAGGGTATGTAAGGAGGTGAAAAAACACTATGCCAAACTTTTAGTATTAGTTTATATACACACAGTAAGAAACAAAACAAATAACTGTTAGAGTTTCCATGAATTTATTGCAAAAATAGTGCAAACTACTTAACCTAGTAAGCTGTAAAACAAACTCGAAAGGACCCAGCTAAGCTTAAACACAACAGGTGCTCAGTGTCTCAGCCTTTAGCTTTTCACCAGTTTCTCTTTTGTCAAGACCACTCCCCATCCGTTCAGTTCCGGGCGAGGGCTGGGAGGAATGACGGCTGGCTCTCCAGGGACCAACCGGTCCGCTGCCTCCCGCCAGCAGTTCCTTTAGGGTCATGCTACTTACTCAATGGCGACTGTGTGAGGTCTGTATTGAAAACGTTTAAGATGCCACCATGTTTAAATCTGGCCTTAGAAACGAGTTACCCAGCCTCTTGATGGCACGGAGAAAGAATCCAGAAAGCAGCATGAACGGAAAGGATCGGGAACATGACTGTCCACTCATGGTACCCTTTTTTCAGATGTGTTTGGGTCAAGTGTTATTCTACTGGTGGGCAACCTTTGAACCAGATAGTGAAGTTAGAAATGAAGGGGGGGAAAAAAAAAGGGCCCTGTATCCCTACAAGGGTAATTTTAAAATTTCTTCCAACAGTCTATTGGGGTCCAAAAAGCATATATCTAAACAAAATAATAAGAGCAAAACAAAATGCTACATATAAAAGCTAAAGAAACAAAATGCAGCATATTCAGGTTCTTTTTCTTGAGGTACCTATATAAATTTAATCACCTGCCCCAAAGTACTCCTGTTAGGTAAAAAACAAAATGCTTCCTGGCGAGCCAATCGTAGGGCATTTATTATCATTGAGAAAGTGCAACAAGGCCCAGCCTGATACGCAGCATGCGAGGGTGACTCGCTCTTTACAAACAGCCTACGACTGACCTGGTGGGAGTTTCAAATGAAAGACATTGAACTAGAATCATCCCCTTGTTTTGAGATCCTGCAGCAAAAAGCCTCCCAAATCAACTTTCAAAGTTTTGCCACTAAGGAATGTTGGTTCTCTTGTAAAATTCAGAGATCTCTTTAAAATAGTAAAACTATATACTACAGGCAAGATCCTGAATTTTTGTTTCTTACTGGTATAAAATCAAATTCTTAAGACTCCAAAATATTGCATTACCTCCAAAGAATTAAGTTAAAAAAGATCGCCATAGTAGGAAAAGTTGAGAATTGTAAACTGCCAAATACGAAAGCAAGGAAAGTCACGGTCTCCTCTGCTTCCTCACCTGCCAGAACGCTCCCCCAGCTCCCGGGAACCAACCAGGCTGCTGCTGGAAGCCGGCCTCCCTCCCCACAGCCTCGCCGGAGGGGGCGCCCTCCTCCGTCCGTGCTCAGGAACCCCTCTACCAGGTCAGGAGAGATGACGTCAACAACAGTCCATTTGCTGCTTATGAAATAAACTTACATGCCAGACGAAGAAGGGGCCCAAATGGCGAAAAATCAACAAGAGGACACATGAGCTGTTTTGGCCGCCCCTTCATTGGCACAGAAAATGAAGTGATAGCTATAAATATGTGCATAGAAGAGTTTGGAATTTGTTTGCAAAGTGTTAAATTTTCTCTTGGACACGATTTGTCTCCTTTTCACAGAAGGCAGTTGGGATCCCAATATATGTTAGTGGTCGGCTGGGGAATCTACCAAATGCCAAGGCCAATCGGGCTTTTCTCCCCACCTGCAATATAAAATATTTAATTCATACTGATATTTTTTCCAATGCATTAGGATTCAACACAAAAGGCACAAAATAAATAAAAATATTATTAAATGAACGGAAATTATGATTTCAAGCTTCATGTGGAGTTATAGCTCACTGTTTGGTTACTTTTTCCAATTTAATTTGACAGACTTAGTAAATAGCACCCAACTGTTTAACTGAGGTAGATCCACATTGTAGAGAAAGCTGGGTCCCCTCCATTTTACGTCTGAATTTAAGATGCTTTTACAAAAACAAAAATCTATTTAATCATATGCAGAAGCAATGGCAGGTGGCACCACCTGAAGAAAGCTTAGAACATGAGCAGGTTTGCAAGTAAGATCTACGCCCAAATCATACTCTCCATCAGCCACAAATAAATCCCAGGCTGGAGGGGAAAATTCAAACATGTAAAAATAACCCTGAAAAATTCAAGACTTTCAAAACAGATCTTTTTTTTTTTGACTGACTGCCACAGAGATGCACAATGGTCTGTCTTCATCAAGCGATGGCAACAGCCTGGAGAGAGAGAGAGAGAGAGAGAGAGAGAGAGGGAGGAGAGAGAGAGAGGAAGAGAGGAGAGAGAGAGAGAGTCTTACTGAATGTCTCCCTTTGTAACGTTGAATCACAACACAGCATCTTGATCTGGACAGCTTACACTCACTCTGCCTAATATTTTTGCATACTCTGAAACTTACAAATTGAACATCTGATTAAGGCTTAATTTAAAGTGGCATCACCACCCAGCATCATGCAAGCATTGGACTTCCTCCACACACACAGAATGGCAGTGAACTAAAGACACGGACATGAAGCCTCAGAACTGTATCTAACAGGTACTATAATTTCATAATTAAGTTTACAATTCATGTAGCAAATGAGAAGGTACACAGACAGAGAGGCCAACGAATATAAATACTAGTTTATATAGGAACTGTCCATTCACAGAACAGCACGCGGCACGGTGTCTCTGCAGGCACGACACGGCCACAGGACCTGCCGCACGGGGAGGGCGGGCGGGACGCGAGTACCACCCAAAACGAGACCCTTGCAGCTGCTTAGCTTCTTAGAAAATCGTAAACTTTAAATGGTTGTAACACATTTTGATTCAAAATGTCTTCTAAAATGTCTTATTGTGGGGGGAATTAAGAGGAGGCAAGATCTACCTAGGGAACTTTTGAATTCATTTTTGGTTCTTTTTCAATTATTTTATAAAAATAAAATAAAACTAGAAAAGTTGATAAAACCCAGGGTTCAAACCCCTCAATACATATTAGGTAAGTGATCTGAAGTGTACCAGAGGTAAGAAAATTCTGGATTTAAACCCTACATTCTTTTCTTGTAGTTAATGAGTAATTAGCTATTTTGCTGCAAAGAAACTTACAATTATTCTCATAAAACTTTTTAAAAAGTAAAAACTCACTGGCCTCTACAGTTTTAAAACATGGAGTTCACACCTTCAACAACTACACTAACATTCACTATCAAACTCAGGACTCAAATTTCGATTTAGTGCTAAACTACACACTTCCAGGATTTTAGTCAGGTACATATTTGGCTTTGAAGAGGGACCCAAACTTCCAATGTGTTGCTCCCCCTGCAGCCAGCGGCGCTCAGCACGGAGGGCTGGGGTTTGGTGACGGGGGGCCAAGCAGGCCTCAGGAAGGACTTTCTATACAATTGTAGAATAAATAACATGGATTATCTCGCCCACTTAAAACCAAGAGAATCATCCCTTGACACGAAATGGTGATTTGCAATTAGACCATCAGCCAAGAAAAGCGCTCACTACCTGGCCCGAAAAAGCACGAGCTACAAGCTGCATTTTAGATGTGTCCAAATGAGTCTGTGCACAGCCCGAGGTGACCCCACAGCCAAGCAAGCAGTTTCCCGCAGGTCACAGAAGGGAACGCCAGCCTTCCAAGGCGAGGACAGCAGGCTGGACGGCACCTACAGCTGAGGGTCTCAGGCATGTCACACAGACTCATTCCCATTCCTTGGAGAAAACTCAGTTCCCCTATACTAAGTACTCGAGTGACTCTGAACAAAATCACCAGGCCAGTGCCTGGCTAAGGGATCGGTCTTGCTAAGGCCCTGCAGGTGTGGCCTTGGCCAGGGCGCAGGAGAAACCACGCAACCGGAACCTCACGTTTCCTGACACGAGACAGCACGCACGGGCTTCACAGTTTGCAGAGTTGGGAGCGGAGGAGCAGAAGCAGCGTCAAAGGCAGAAGGTGGATGACCGACGTGTGGGATGGCACAGGCTTCCTTCCCAGCGGAAACGCAGCCCCAACATGATTGAGAGGACACTGGGACCAGACGATAAAGGCACAGAGGCTGAGACGGGGTCTTCTGGAACATGCTGTCTGGTCCTAATGGGGACCAGAGGGGCCGCCCTCTCCCACCCTCCAGGGTGTTCCCACAGTCCCCCACACGGGCCCGGTGGCGCGGCTGTCCTTGGGACCAGCTCATGGAGTGAGGACCTGAAGATTCAGAAGGTGCTGAGTGAGGAGGCCTCGACATCTAGTTCCTGGAGTCACTTGGGGGGAAGAGTCAGTATTTGGTGTTTTAGCTTTAACTCTGCTTAAATCCAAGGGGGCTGGAAACAGAAGTGATTCAGCCCCTACACCCCCAGGGAAGGGGGTGGGGTGAGATGAGGACTCCCCCTTTGGTCATACCACCCAAGGGCATTTAAGGATCTCATACATCTGAAACTTTTCACTCAACCAATAAGAGAGTAAAGTGTTAACAAAAGCACCAGTGATCTTCCGTTCTCTTATTTTCAACCATCTCTCAGGAACGCAAGTGTGGTGGGGGCTGCCTCTGGGTTCCAGAGATGTGGGTACAAAAGGCCAATGGGCGATGGAGCCCAGTTCTTCGGGCCCGCTGCCAGATCGAGCGGGGGCCACTGTGCAGGGTCCCCTGAATCACCCCGTGTGGGATTCTGGCTGAAAGTGAGACCAACCCAAAGGTCAGCAGACATGTGGGCACTCTCCCTGACATCCAACTTCTCAGGGTAGACAGTGTGACCCCGAGAGACCAGCGGACCCCAGCTGTCAGAGTTAAAGCACAGCACGCAGCATGCAGAGCATCGCCATCCAAACCACAAGGCGGAGGGCCACGTCTGTCACGTCTGCCACGTCAGGGTGCGCGCGAGTCTCTCTGGCCCAAAGCCAACGAGCGTCCAGGAGCAGAGCAGAGCCCCCCCGCCCCACATGCGATCGCCCGCCTGTGCCTCCCAAACTTAAGAGCAAGTGGAGGGACACAATGCCAACCTTCTGAGGACATGAGAACATAGGAACCCAAACAAGACATAAGGGGGTGACGCCTGGCCCACAGCAGTGTGTGGGCAGGAGACACTTCGGACAGCAGAGGGACCATTCACAAAGGGGCACTGAGTCCTGACCAACACCCAGGGCGTGGGAAGTCCTGCCCTCGTCACAGCCGTGGACCCTGTGTTCCTTCCGCACAGGGGCCGTGGACTTGAACAGAATGTCCTGCTTGCAAACCTCAGATCGGTTTCCAGGAGGGAGTGACGGGAACGCAGGCTGCCGACCCCAGGTCAGTCCGCCTGCACTGCTCGAACCAGAAGGCGTGACCTCCGGGCCGGTGTGGAAGCACCTTGGTGAGTCACAGAGCGGGCACAGAGGGAGCAGGGAGCAGAGGGGGCCATTTCTGACCCGTTTGTGAGAAAGAAGAGAAAGTGCCTCCTCCAAGGCGCAGGTCGTGAGAGCCACGGGTCACGGTGGCACGCACATCTGCCGCACTGCACAGAGATGTTCACAACTCGGTTTATTCGGGCGACATTTTGGCCATTTCAGTGTGGACAGCTACGCGTAAGAGCAGACATGAATCTACTGAGAATTCAGAGGTAGCCTTTATCTGCATTTACTTTTTTTAAACTGAAAGGTATTTAGAAACCACCTTCTGTAGTGATTTGGCTAAGCCAATACATTCACCGTAGACAGTAACATGGCAAAACATTTCCAGAAAAGCATCACGAGGGCCCTGTGGCATCGGCGTGAGTCACACGCACCCGGTGACTGAATGGGCTGACGCCTCTGTGTGCCTGACCCGGGCGGCCCGGCCGCAGACAACCACACACAAACCTAGCGGACATCACAGGCAGCAAAGAACACACTGGGCCGAGGGGCTCTCCCCAGAGGACGGTTGTGACGTGACAGTGCCGCGTGGCTTCAAAGCCATGGCGACCCCGGCAGGTGGGCCACACGCGTGCTTGCCACCCGCACATCAAGTGCTGGGCGGAACCAGGAGGAAATGCTTTTGGGAGTCATGGCAAATAACAAGAAACTAAACCACAAAACGTGTCTAAAGGATTTACAATTAATCCTCTTAAAATTAAGTCTTCAGACCTCAGGGGAGCTCACTCCCCTTTCACTAGATTGCAGACGGCCTTTTAGAAAAACGGGCAAAGGGGAACGTTTCCTTCATGAGGGGTCGACAGGCACGCGGCGGAAGAACAGAAGCCAGCCCACGACTCCAGCCCACGACACTGGAGAACGCGGCAGCGTCGCAAACACAAAGTAGCGGGGTTCCTGTCACTTCTGCTACCCTAAGTCTATCTACAGTCATCACAGACGAGTACAGCAGACGCAAGGTGGGGCATAATTAGAAAAGGAAGTTGTCAAAATCAGTGCAATTATTTTGAGCTGAAAATTTTCCTTACAAAAGAGTCTCCATGTGTGTGTAACGTGGACAGTCACACGTGCATGGCCTCTACACTGACCAGCGGCACAGCAGGGAAGCGGCTGGGTGGCAGCCGGAGAGGACAGTCTGTCACTTCGGGGGAAAGGTTTAAAATATAAATAAGAGAGTTGCGTTCCGAGAGTGAGGCGCACGAACACTGAGGACGTTCCTCTATTGTACATTCCTTTTCTCGTGAGCGTGAGAGATGAGTCAGAGAGGTCACAGGGAAATGTCTATGGCTTGTCCGGGCCACTGGGATTGTCCACTGTCTGGTTATGTCAACTTCTAGAGTTCCTCCTAATAGAACTGCCTCTGGTGTAGGAAAATGCCCATGAAAATCCTTTTAACTGTCCAACAGCTCAAAGTCCCACTGAAGAGCCACCCAGATACAAATGGCCACGCGCTTCCATGACACAGGGCAGAGGCGCCGCCGTGGCCCACGGGGCCTTCTGGGGACAGCCTGGGGTCCCGTCGCAAGACGCTTAGCTGCTCCACCCTTCACATATTGCATCAAATATATAATTTGACTGAGAAAATGCAAAAAGAAAATTTAAATCACCCCACAGATCAATGTAAAATTACACTGCTGCATATATAAGCAAAACAATTCATCCAAAAAAATTCCATTTGCGGCGTTCAAAAATAAATCATCCGGCAGACCTGAAGGTAGACGTCAGGCGACTTATAAAAGCTGGGAAACAGCCAGTACCCTGTCCATCAGGTACCATGTGCACTGGAATATCCACATTGGCCAAATCAAACCAGAGTAGAAAGGCAAAAATAAATAGCAACGTTTGCATCGACGACAGTAAACACAACATACAATACAGCATCAAAAAGCCCCCTCCCACCCTGCTGGAGGAGGAAACCCCTTTCTAGCCAGCCCTCCAGCCGGGGCCAGAGTCCGGAGCAGCGTGGATCTGGCCAACCTCGAACAGCATGAAGTCCCTCGGTTTCCAACAGCGTCCCCCCGGCCCACTGCCAAGGTCCGGGGTCGTCTGTGGGTCGAGAGTGCGCACACATTCACTGGAGGGAGCATGAGAACACCACCAAGAAGCAATACACTCTCGACAAGAAAAGGCAGACCCTACCGTATAGTACCCAGCGAGTCAAGTGTGTGTGTGTGTGTGTGTGTGTGTGTGTGTGCTTGCTTCTCAAAACAGAAAACCTAAACCCAAACCAAAACAAAGCCTTTCTTTCGGAAATCACAGGCATGCCCAGTCTTACTGAATTTATCTGGACTAGGGAGACCAGAGCTTATTGTACACAAATAGCAGGGTGAGGTCCCAGCGGCACCAAAGTCTCTTCTGCAAAATGGCGACCGGGACGGGTGCCCTGGGTTCTTCAGGGGGGCTTGTCCACTGCGACAGACAGTGGCGAAGGGGTGGGAATACACTGATTTTTCTCAAAGTGGCTGTTTTGAAATATGCTACGAAGAGTATCAATGTGAGAATCGAATTGGGAGACGCTCTTCTACAGAGATGAGGGAAATCCCAGCTTTTCTCTGACATTTTCACATTCAGTTCGCTTCGAGCAAGGCACACCTTACTACCAGTGGGCTGGGGCGCCCCCTCGGCCTGGCCCGAGGTAGCCCCGGGTCAGAGGACGGCAAGGGCCCCTCTGGCTCCCAAGCGAACGGGGCTTGGGCTGACCCTCCCGCACCGGGAGGTCTCACACGGTCTCGGAACTCAGAACGCAGCCTAACAATGGGGCCTGGCAGAAGCTGGGGAAACGGTCTACCTGAGCGCGCACCCACCGCCACGCCCTCTGAACCCCCAAACGAGGGCAGGGTGTGCAGCCGGCGAGACAGGCCGCCTGGTGATCCTTTAGTGTGAAAAGTTCTATGAAACAAGCACAGGGCCATGAAAAGCACCCTTCTCAAAGCACTTTGGCCCACTGAAAATCAACTCTGCCTTCAAAGTAAGTTTTTTAAAAAAGTAGGTGTAATTTTCTGCCAGCCTGTGATCTTCCCGAGGTTTTGGCCTAGAACATGGTCGCCGAGGAGCCCTGCCCGCTGGGCCTCCGTGTTTGTGGGAGCCCCTCCGGGAAGCTCTGCACCGGGGGCCTCAGACGCAGGCAGCCCCGGCCATGAGGTTCGCAGCCAGGCCTGGGAGTCTGATTTTAACCAGGCACCCCGCCCACGAGATCCCCTTGCACATGTTAGAAACGCACCTTTGAGACAAACAGGTTTAGATGACCCTAAAAATGGCTGAAAACCGACCCAATTTAAGAGTGTATTAGTGAAGATTCCCCCCTCAGCTTGAAGGCTCCCAGAAAGTAAGCCAAGAGTGGGCTGGTGTCCTGACGTGGAGAAAGTGCCACTTGCCAACGGAGCGACAGGGACCTGCGACATCTCTCAGAGCAGAGGCTTCTGTCACTGAGAGACAGAGACACAGCGAGGAGGGACTAATGCCATTAATAAGACACCCACATGCACACACTTCCACACGCACGCACCACTCTGAGCAGACAGCTTCACAAATAATATGCATCCTTCTGTCACCACCACCGAGACGCAGGCGAGGGTCCGCGAGAGCCCAGAGCAGAGACCGGGAGGCAGGCGGGCGCCCGCTCCAGCGGAGGCTCCCCTGTCAGGACCAGAGGTAAGTGTCAGCCGGGTGGGGGTGTCAGCAGGGACAGGAAACCTAGAGCACAAAGCAGCACGGGGGAAGAAGGCTCGTCTCCTTCCTCGAGTCTCTACGACGAACGTGGACTTGACTCTCGGTAAATCTGCCTACAGGACAAAGAGCCCACTCAGCACAAACAGAGCTGTCAGCGGTCACCCCTTCCAAGCTGTCCATGGCATCACTCCGAGTGCAACGGTTTCTGGGTTGGCAACCCCACGTCTGGGCCCAGAAGGCAGATCCCAGCAGGAGGGTCTGGCCCTTCCAAAGGCGTCCATCCACCATCCTGTGGGGGGCAGGGCTCGGCTGCTGACTGCCGCACGGGGCCCCCACTGCAGGCTCCCGCGTTCAGTGTCAGGTCCTGTGGGGTCGCCACAGGACCCCGCATGGCGAGGCGGGCCCGCCAACACACGGACGTGCTCCCAGGACCGGAAGAATGCGTACATTCCATTTGTGCTTAATCGGCTGAGCAACACATGGGATGGAGGGGCAGGGAGGGTGGCGCGTGACCACTGTGAGCGCACCCGGTCCCCTGGGGGGCGGGCCGCGGGCACAGGGGGTGCAGTGCATCCCCCTGTACTTGAGCACTGAGACCCACAAGAGCGGCCCAGTGTCCAGGCCTTGAAACACTGCAGATCACAAGAAGCACCCCGTAGTCAATAGAACAAAAAGCAGCATCTAGCTATCACATGAATACTGCAAACCAGGTATATAATTCTCTTCTCTTACATTAAAGACATAACAGTGAAAAAGGATTGTACTGTACTTATCACCACAGACCCGTATTCTTTAGAAACTTTGGAAAATAAATGTCACAGTCCTATAGGACAAATCTTACGATTAGACTGTCGGCATATTGTCTTTTTTCTTTTTTTTTTTTAAATAAATTTTTATTAAAATGGCACTTGCTGCCAATCTCTCTGGACCTAGAAGTGTTGTAAACGCACATGGCCTCTGCCGCCACCGCTGCCCCTCCCCCGCGGTGGGAAAGGCTGGCCGTGGACGCGACGCCCGAGGGCACCCGGAGGCGCCTGCCCGGGGGTCCTGACGCGCTTGCGGAGCCACATCAGGACTCGGGCGTCGCTGCGGCAGACTCAGCGACAGCAGAATGGTCAAGGCTTTAAAACCACAACCTCATCGTGTTGCTCTGGCTCTCAGAGAGCAGTCACAGCTAGTTTGAGCCCATCGATCTCATCTAGAATCATGTGTTAAAAACAAGTGAATCGAATGACCAAATAAATTAAAAATGTTTTAAAGCCCTGAGTTCATAGACTGCTTTTAGGAGATTTTTTAAGGAACACGGGACTCTAGTTTAACAAGCAGCTCATAGATTTTGGCAAACCATATTTCCTATGATAATGGGGTCTCATACAGGTCTGCAGTTCAAAATCCAAGTTTGAAATCCAGGACGGAAGGCATTCTGGGAAGTGGGGCATCTGCTGAGCCAGCGCCGTCTCCTGGTGGGCGCTGGCTGCCTCGGGAGGGCTGGCGTCTGTTGGTCTGGGTGTCTCCTGGTGGGCGCTGGCTGCCACGGGAGGGCTGGCGTCTGTTGGTCTGAGTGTCGCTGGTCTCGTGTGAATCCCACTCGGCACACAATCGTAAACACAACACGTCAAGCAAAGTACATGGTGCGCAGTGTGTCCTGGTGGACCTGGACCGCCTTGGCCAGCGCCTGATGGTCGCGTCCGTTACTCTGCCCGGAGGTATGGCTTCCTTCAGCACTGCGGGGACAGGGACACAGAGGGCGCAGCCTTGAATGCAGCACGGGGCAGCACCCTGACAGCTAAGCCAGGGCCACATGCTGGCCCTGCTGACACTGGCGTTTGGGCTTCCGCGTCGCAGCTGGCTCCAGCCACCGAGACCCCACTGCTTCCCACTTCAGAAAAGCAGCCGCCAAAGCCTGTTTCAGAAATGACCCCTGCTGTGACCTCCAGCCAGGAAAGGCCTGCCACTCACCTGTCATGTTCTTTATCCACCAGGTGGTACCTGGCCCGGAAGGCCACCAGGTGCGCGTAGTATGCTGGCGCTGGGATGGACACGGAGCGCGTGCAGCGCACGTAGGTGTGACACAGCTGGTAGGTGAGAATCTGCAGCTCATCGGAAGAGAAACGATTGTCATCCCAAAGCACATGGTAGTGGGAAGGCCTGCTTGTGCCCTAAAAGCAGATCAGAGGGTCAGAGATGGGCAGGCGCACCTGCCGACGGCACCGCCGACGCGCCGAGCGCTCCGCACCTGGGGACAGAACAGCTTACCGGGGACACGGCGCATCCAACACAGACACCGACAAGGTCAGGTCTACTGTGCAAAGGCATCCGGACCGGGCGTTTCATTGCCCGGTGGGCAAAACACAGACCACACAGGTGTCAGCGAGGGAAAGACCACGGGGAAGGTGCACACGCTGGAAACGGCTGCTCCGAGGACAGCGCTGCTTGTGCAGGTTAGTTCTCCCGGCGTTTCATTTACAGGCAGGAGCACACTCTCTCCGTGAAAGCTACATGTTAACGGCACTCTTTGTGTGCGCGCGCGTGCGTGTGTGTATTTTTTTAATCCTCACCTGAGGACATTTTTCCATTTTTTTGTTCAGATAGAGTGGGAGGGAGAGAAGAGAAAGAGAGAGAGAGAAACATCGACGCAAAAGGGACACATCAAGTGGCTACCACCCATGCCACCCAACCAGGGCCGGGGACAAACCGCAACCGAGTACGTGCCCTTAGCGGGAACCGAACCCGGTCTCTTGGGACCGCAGGCCGATGCTCTAACTGCTGAGCCAAACTGGCCGGGGCTTAACGGCACTCTTTAAAAGCGAGTTGGCAAGTGTGTTATTTTATGCAGTTTGTACAGTTTGACATCTTTTGAAACTAAGAAAAGCAGGAGTTGGTGGCCTTGCCCACCCACGGCAACACGGAGAGCAGATGGCACTGCCCACCCGCCGCTCCGCCGGGCCCCTCCCCGGCCCAGCTGCCTGCTCAGCGCCATGTCAGGGCCACAGGCGCCACCGCCCTTGCTTTACCACTGGACCCGGTGTGGCACCCACCCTGGCGTGTTGTTGGCGGCCGTCACAGGGCCTGCCAGGGTCACAGCATGAATGCCGAGCAGGCCCTCTCGAGGCCCAGGTGTGTCACAACACTAAGGTCTCAGCAAAGAACAGGCCCAGCCACTGAACAAGCCGGAGGGCCCGAGGGAGGCTCCACCCAGCAGGCAGGACGCCAGGAAGAGAACAGGCCTCGGCGAGACAAGGGCCTGTGGTCACCATAGGGCCCCGTACAGAAAGGGCACCGGCGGGCACCACATGGGCCAGGACAGATAACTAACTGCGCTAAGAAACGAGAGGAAGGACTCTGTGTTCTCACTAAGGCATCTTCTTTTTCTTTCCCTTTAACAACCTTTAAAAATGTGAAAACCATTCTCTGTGTCGGGCTGCATCAGGCCCCAGGCGCAGCACGGCGACACAGACAATGAAAATACTTCCTGGGGAGCAGGACCAGTGCCAAGTTCATGGCGCTCTCCAAGGTGGGGTGCACAGGCTCTGGGGAGGGGTGCGGAAGTCTTGGTGTACTCTCTGAACAACCAGAGCCCCGCATGAAGAGGCGGTGAGCTGGGGCTGACACCAGGCTGGCCAGAGCGGCGCTCCGAGTCACCCCAGGCCGGCTGGGCCTCTTCGCCGAGAGACGGAGCAGCCCGGCCGTGATGACGGGCCACAGAACCGTCCCTGTGTGCCCAGCAAACATGCATGCGTGGGGGGGACACAGGGCCGCACCCTGCCCTTCCCACAGCTCCTGAGACGTCCTTACCATGCAGTGTGAGGCCGACTTCCACCAGGTGGCCTTGTCACCTGCGATCTCCCCAAGCTGAGCACCAGGCACAGCGATGCCCTGGATGCCACCAGAGCGCCCTGACTCTGCATTCACTGCTCCTCCTGCCTGGACCTCATCTCACCAAGAATGCCCCCCAGCTTCCCAGGGGTCCTGTGTCCCCAACACCTGGCAGTCCTGAGCCTCTGTTCACTGGTGAAGCCCTGACCACAGCTGAAGCCCTTCCTGGGTGCTCACCACTGAGCCCCCGAATGTGTGCGTGACATCACAGACACTGCGACTGTCCGAAGGGGACCGTCTGCCCTTACCTGGATGCCAGCGTGACTACACAGGTAGAAGTCAAACTCGGTCGGGTGGGTGATCTTCGTGTCCACGGTGGTGCCTGCTGGGATGTTTCCACTCTTCCCCACCTTCAGCAACAAGGAGCCCGTTAGACGTGCCCGAGACAGGACAAAGCGGAGGGAGCGAGCCCTGCCTACCTCGCCCGAGGCTGGCCCTCCCGCTCAGGCTGCCCGCTCCAAAGTCTTTAACTCGGACAGTGCATTTGCTCAGCACCAGAATGTTAAACTAAAACCTAACAAAAACTAACATCCGAAATGACTTAACTCTAACTTTACACAGCAGGACCGAGGTCACTGGAGACCCAGCTACTGCTATTGCAGCCCGCCCCCCTAGATCCGTACCCCAACCCACCACCATGCCACTGACTGACTTTTGAGTTGTGTACCCTTTGAAATATATAGGGTGTCCCCCCCCAAATGTTTATACAAAACAAGTGTAATTACAAAGCCAGTGTTTAATGAAATACATTTCATTTTCAAATGTAACGGAACCTGCAGATGGCCTGCCTACATTTTTTGGGACACCCTGTACACATGAAAGAGGACCCCATGGGCCTCTTGCCTTCAGATGTATTTCTGCTTCTTGCCAACCTTTTGTACACCTTCAGTCTTTTAAAAGAAGTAAACTATTTGAAAACACGGCCCCCGTCTCCCTTCCGCTGCCGTCTGGGTCCCGGGCTTCACGCCCACGGACGCCCACCTGCCTCAGCCTCCGTGGCTCACAATGCTCCTCTGCAGTGTCGTCGACATTCCGCTACCTGCTGTTCTGGCTCAGCGTCACAATTTCGTAGTGACTGTGATACATCCCATCACAATCACTGGATAGATGTGCAGCGTGTTAATTTTCACCCCTATACATCTATGCCGATACGGGACCACGCCACCACCTTTTCTCCTGTTAGCAGACAGTTAGAGGAGTATCTTGCTGTAAGACTTGACAGATGTGTGGGTTTCTCTGGGGCAGCCCTCTCGAGTGGCTGAGTTGTGCTCCAAGTTCCCTCTGGGACAACCAAACTGGTTATTGGTCTGCACTCCATCAACATCACGAGGGTCCTCTTCACAGCACTGCATCTACTCCGTGGCCAAGCGTGACGCTGTGCTTGGCAGGATAGCTTAGTGAAGCCTCCCAGTGTCCTCAGGGAGGGGGCCCTGGGGGGCAGGGATGCTGCAGCCGCCCCAGCTCCTGACCTCGGCACAGCACCCACACCCTCACCACGCAGGCTCATCTCATAACTTGTTTCCTCCCCCTCCCCACGGTCTGAAATACTTTGTATATGATTACTCGCTGAAAGTTGGGTAAAACCTGCCTCTCCAACCCTCCACACTAATTCCACGAAGTACGCTGAGGCGTCCCCTCTCTCCCACCCCCTGCACAACTAGTGGCTTGCCCACGGACCTCCCTGGGCCTGACGCCTGTTGCGACAATGCCTGGACTGTCCCCCGAGCTGCTTTGGTAATTTATGGAGTTCTGCAAGCAACTGTATCCATTTCTTCTAAGCTTCCCGGTGTGTCGGAGGCTGGCAATGACCTACGATGGTGTAACTGCAGCGCTCCTGCAGCCACACTTCTGCTTCGCCCCCAACGCGCAACGAGTCTGCTCCTGGCTGAGTCTTGCTGGGCTCACCCGTCTGTGAAGATGCTTGTGTCTATTTGCTCTATGCTTCATGTCCCGCCACATCATCATCCGCTGACTCGGAGCCCTCGTGACTCAGGGCAAAGGGGGCTGGCAGGCTGCGGGGGGCGGGCAGGCGCCCCAGCACTCCTGGACCTGGGGCTCGTCTCTCTTCTCCATCCTTCCTCCATCCTTCCTCCATCCTCCCTCCATCTCGGGCTCACCTGACGCACCGAAGTCCACGCTCCACACACGGCTTCAGCGGCACTGCCTAAGGTTCGACATGAAATTCTCTTGGTTCTGTTCAGTTCTGATTACCTTGTAATTTTTATCTTCTCTATGTTTAACGCATGTGCCACTTAGAAGTGAATTCAAAATGTCAAGCTTTCTCAAACTTCTTTTTCTAGTGTTGAGTTAAAATTTAATTGTATAATGATCAGAAACTGTGCTTTGTAAAATGCCGAGGTTTGGAAATCTGCGGCCTCTTTTGTCGCCTGGGATGAGGCCAAGTCCCCGAGCGTCCAGGTGACCTCGGCTGCTCCGGCAGGACCGCCCGAGATCCGGCTTGTTCGGGCCACGCTCCCAAGCTCCGGTGCGGCCGGTGCGCCCGTCAGCGTGTGACAGCTGTGCTGCAATGCGCCTGGCAGGCAGAGGTCTGTCCTCTCCTCTCTTCCCCTAATCTGAGGCCGTGGTGCTAGGACTTCCAAGCTCACAGCTGCCACACTCGGCGGATCAGCCCTGGGTGGTGACAAAGTTCCCCTCTCTCGCTGTAACTCTGCCTCCGCACGCTGTGTCTGCGGGGCCCACTGCGGGGGCCGAGGTCGCGGCGGGCATCCTTCGGCACTGGGACGTGGCCCCCTGCAGCCCGAGGACTCCCGCCTGTCCTCGGCGGGGAGAACCGCCAGCAGCCACGCCCGCTAACCTTGCTGTTCCCGCACACGGCCTCACCCTGGACAGCCGGGAGGCACCTGGCCGTCTTCCACCTGCTCTCCGGACCCCTGCCCGAGCTGACCGCGCCTTCTAGCCCCCATCTCCCGAGGCCGCAAGCTCACTCCGCTCGACAGCCGTCCTCACGACTGGCCATCGCCGCGGGGGCGGGCTGACTGTTCTTTTCCAGAGCCGCCTCTCTGGAAATTTCTATCCGATAAACGACATCTGCCGGTCCTGTCTCAGACCTGTGGGATTTACACGTCCAAATTCTCCCCAAACTGATGGCCTCCCCTCACACACACAGCTGGGACTCCGCACAGCCCTCTGAGGACAGGGTCTCCCTCCCCAGAACAGGGACAGAGTGGTCCCACAGGCACTTCGAGGACACGCACCCGCTCATTCTTGTCCGTGCAGAAAAGCCGCGTGTGGTGCCGCTTCTGGACCACGATGAACGTGATGCCCGGCTGGTAGTCCTTCTCCAGCTTGATGCACGCCTCGCGGATGGCCAGCAGCTCATGGTGCAGCACCTGCGGGGGAGGGGCGCCCGGGCCGTCGGTCACCGGCAGCACCTGACACATCCTTGTGGCTACGGCTCCCAGTCCCTGGCTGGCGTCAGCTGTGGGCCTTCTCCTCAGAGCCCAGTCTCCCCTCAGTTACGGGAGGAGGGAAATGACGAGGCCAGGGCTCAATGGCCTACATAAGATGATGGACAAAAACACCCAGTGCTCGAGCCCTGGCCAGCTTGGCTCAGCGGTTAGAGCGTTGGCTTGCAGACCAGAGAGTCCCGGGTTGGTTCCCACTAAGGACACGTACCTCGGTTGCAGTTGTCCCTGCCCCAAGTGGGGTCACGTGGGTGGCAGCCACTCGATGTGTCTCTCACATTGATGCTTCTCTCTCTCTCTTCCCCCTTTTCTCCTGCTCTATCTGAGGATAAATGCAAAAATGTCCTCTGGTGAGGATAAAAAACAAACAAAAACACCTAGTGCTCAATAAATGGCCTGACCCGGGAGCGGCGAGGGGCTGGGGGACACACACGAGCACACCGATCCCACGACTCGTCCCGTCTCGGGAACAGGGAGAGGGTCTAGTGGAGGAGACAGTGGCTTAGGCGTCGGATGTGAGCTCAAACCCTCACGGACACCAGGCAGCCGTGTGGCTATGGGAAAGCCCAGCACCCTCTCTGATCCCCCGTTTTTTTCACTTTTAAAACGGGACCACCCTACCCTGCAAGCTTGCCGTGAAGACTAAAGCGACATAGAAAACACGAGGCATGTGAGTCCCTGGGAGGCAGGGAGCGAGGACGGCCAGACCCCGGCGCAGCGATGGCGACTGCAGGGACTGAAGCCAAGACTCAGTGACTGTCCTGATCAAATACTGTGCGGTGACGTCTCAACATGGCATCGGTCCAGGGTCAGAAGCCCAGTGGTGGTGCTTCTGTCAGACACTGAGCATGTTCACGAGTGATCACAGCAGTGACCACGGTGGAGGGAGCCCAGGTGTGTGGGGGTCACACTCTGGACCTGACGGGACAGCGCGGGAGCTACCAGCTGGCCAGGGAGTGGCGAGCTCATTCTCCTCGCTGGCCCTGGCGGTGGGATCCGGCAGCCACACGCCTGCCACATGCCACCAGCCTATTCACCGAGGCAGCCTCAGGGGTCCCCTGCGGCATCGGGTTGGGGCCCCACATCCCGCTCTGCCTCCCTGCTAACGCCTCCCAGTGACGCAGTCATCCGGCCAGTGTGGACACCTAGATCCAGGCTGGGATGGACCTGCTGCCCACAGATCACCCCGACGGCGAGGTGCCGCACTGCCTCCAGCTGGACACAGCCGCCCTTTCCCACACGCCCCGCCTACGGAGCTCCCTGCGCCTGTGACCGCTGGCCTTGCAACCCCCACGCCCCCCAAGATGCTGCCCCTCCCTCCACACTCAAACAGTGGCCAGGGTCTTGCTGATCTACTTTCCAAAGGGTTCCCAGCCATCCCTCCCTGGGGGCCTGCCCCACAAAACCTCTGCCCACACTCCCAGCCTCCGCCGGCACAGCTCCCCAGGCCCCAAGCCCAGCCTGTCGCCCCTCCTGTCTCCGTCTTGCCTCAGCATGGAGGGTGCTGGGCCCAGCACCCCGGCCCACCTTCCGCACCACGACCAGACAAACACTGGGGCAGAATGCAAACCGCACCGTCCTTTTCTGTAGCAAACCCAAGAAGCTATTTTGCCAAACGGGAGCCTCGGACTTCATGAGGACGGAGAAGCTGAGGCTCACCTGCTGAAACTGCCCCTCGGACACGCCGTCGCGGTAGAAGATGATGCGGGTGGGCTTGAAGCGCGTGGACTTGTAGAACTGGATGAGCAGCTCACGCACCATGGCGGCCAGGTCCTGGATGATCTCCTGGCGGTGCTGCTGGACCCGCACGGTGGCGCAGTAGCGGTTGGGGTGGGCGTCCATGCTGCCCACGACCTGTGGGGCACGAGGTGTGCTTGTCAGGGGCCCAGAAAGCCCCGAACTCAGGCAGGCGCCAATCCCCTCGAGCAGGCGCTCAGCCTCCCTGACCTTCCTCGCGTGGGAAGAGGTAGCTGTCGCCGACCCCGTAGGATCAAGACGACGGTTACGCGCCCAGCCAGGGCCCAGCCCAGGGCCTGGCATGGAGCAGGTGCTCAGAAAATGCCAACACTATCGGATTTGTGTGGAGGGAACGAGGGGCAGGACGCACGAGCTGCCCTAGGCAGACAAACCAACAGGGGGTCTCAGGTGACGAGTACACAGCACCCAGACCTCACTCTGGCCGCCCCACTGGGGACGAGGGGATCCTGCAACCTCGGCTGCAGAGGACAGGAGGTACCGGCTGGTGCTGCCCTCCACATCTAATCCGCACCACCCGAGCAGGCCTGGTCCTCACCAACAAAAGGCTGCAGTAATGATGGCGCTGCCCCGCCCCCCCATACCCCAGGAGTCAGCTGTGGGGACGGAGGTGCTGCTGACTCAGCCAAGGGGAGGGGCGCACAGCCAGGCCTTGGGCCCTGGGACCGCCTCCGGGGCGAAACTCACAGCTGAGGGAGGGCAAGGACCGCCCAGGCCAGTGCACACGCACATCACAGGCCCGTTAATGCGCTCCGTCTAGGAGACTGCAAGGGTGAACGAGAGGATGGACTGAACTCTCGATGGTCTCGTTCTTTTACTCACAGTTGGCATTTTGTAAAAAACAGAAAACAGCCTTGGCCAGTTTGGCTCAGCGGTTAGAGCATCGGCCTGCGGTCCTGAGAGACCCCGGTTCGGTTCCCGCTAAGGGCACGTGCTTCAGTTGCAGTTTGTCCCCGGCCCTGGTTGGTCGTGCGGGTGGCAGCCACTCGATGTGTCCCTTCACGTTGATGTTTCTCTCTCTCTCTCTCCCTTCCTCTCTCTCCCTCCCACTCTATCTGTACAAAAAAAAAAAAAACCCAAAAAACAGAAAACATCTGAAATGAGGGCAGCCTCTGCCCTGCAGGACGAGAGCCCCCAGGACCTCGGTGGGGCCCGATGCGGCCTGTCGGGGTTTCTGGACAGAGCCCGCTCACAGCACGCTCACTGCCTCACAGGTGTATCCGTCCACCTGTGGCGTCCCCCAAACACCATCACCCCGTGACGGGGATCCCGGCGGCCTCCCGGCCTTCCAGGAAGGGGCTCTGGCCCCTGGCTGCGGGGTGCCACGTCCCCTCCGCGGGCAGCTCGGGAGGAAGGTCACCCACAGGGCCCGGCGGGCGGCACCGACACTCACAGCAGCGATGGAAGGCTTCTTCCCGTCCCCTGCGGGCGGGTGGGTGACGTCGGCCCCCAGGAAGATGACGGGCTGCTGGAACACCGGCGGCCTGCGGGGGAGCAGAGTGTGAGGGGCCCGGGCTCAGACAGCACCTGCGCCCCGGTCCCGCCACCGCTGTCCCTCGTGGTCAGGGGACTGCGGTTGCGCTTTCAGAGTCCTTCTCGCTTACTGACGCACGCAGAAAGCCCTCCAGGTGGTGACACGGTCTGAGGTCGGCCTCAGGAGAACGCGGGGGGGAGGGTGCAGGTGGAATGGCCGCCGAGGCTGGGTCAGGGAGGTGAAGGGCCACCTGTGACCACACGCGAACGTTTCCAAGATAACTGTACGCCCCGAGCATGGACAGAGCCTGAGGGCGGAGGCACGGCCGTCGCTGACCCCGGCCCAGCAGGGAGCCTGCGCTCCCGGACCCAGGCAGCAGAGGGGCTGCTGGGAAAGCCTTCTCGGCCTCACATGGAGCCAGCGCCCACCCCGCTACACTCATCTAGAAACCCCCACCCGAGCTGAGGTGTTAAGGAAAAGGGTGCATTTGAGTGTGTACAACTTGTCAGTGCCCACAGGTGTGGTTCTGACACCCTGGCAGCTCTGGGCCTCCCCGGGGACATCAGGAGGCTGCTTGCTACGCCCCCGTCGCTGCCATCACCTGCCTGCACAGAGGGGCAGAGGGGCAGAACACGCCCACAACCGTACCAGCTACCCTGCCTCACATGCCTGCCCCCAGATGCCATCCGACCACCCACGCCGCCGCCGCCCCTGCCCTCGCCCTCCCCCGGATGCGATGCAGCAGCAGCAGCCAGTGCAGCAGGGCAGGCTCCGGCCACCCGCCTCCCACCAACCGTGCAGAGCTCCGCCCGCCCACTCCGTGCTGCGCCCCACACCTCACTGCTGCTGCCCCCCAGCACCACCCGCGGCCCTGGTGACTCACACCCTCCACAGGCAAACCCACACCGCCTGCCCTCTCCACCTCCTCCCACGGCCTCCTCACTCCCTTCTTCGTCTGGTGAGCACAGTGCAAAGCTCCAGATCAGCCACACCGCTCTCGGCCTCCCGTGCTCTTGGGCCCCTCCCAACCAGGCTGCACGCTGCCATGGCAACCAGACTCCTCTCTGCAAGGTCGCCAACCACCTGCACGCTGCCCAGCCGCTGGCCCAGCTCGGGATAAACTGCCCCCAGGGCCCAGGACCAGCCCCCCCCCGCCCCCGGGCCCCCGTCCTGGCGCAGAGCAGGTGCTCACACCACGCGGACCCTGGGGCCGGCAAGGGCGCATCCAGCTCGCCACTGCACTTGACAGGTCCCCCTTCCATCCCAGGAACCGAGGGAGTGGAAGGGCCCCTCCTCTCAGAGCCAGCACCCCAGGTCAAGCCAGACTCTGAACTCAGGATCCGTCCATGGGACCACGGCCTCTGTCCAGGTAACAGCGCAGCTCAGGGAGCCAGAGCCCCGCCCGGGGGGCAGCCTCACCTCCCCTGGGGCAGCAGGATGTTGTTCACGCCCCCCAGCTTGACGTTGATCTTCAGGCAGAGGTTGGACAGCGTCTGCGGCGTGGTCCGCTGCACGTTCTTCATCTGCACGCACTGCGTGGCCATCCCGAGCACCGTGTCGCCCACGCGCTTCACCTCGGCTGCGGGGCAGAGAAGGCGCTCAGCGAGGTGCTCCGGCACCCCCAGCTATCGTCCCGCCTGCCCGCCCCTCTGCAGCCCAGCCGGGAGCCAGGCGGTCAGGCAGAGGGAAGTCAGAGCCTCCGGGTTCCGGCCCTGGCACTGCCCACCGGCGCCGCCTGCGTCAGTCTCACGCTCACTCTGCCAGGGGTCAGCCATGCCAAGGACCCCAGTGGAACCCGGGGAGAAACGCCACCTTCCTTCGCAGCACCCGGGACCACAAGCAAACGCTCGAGTTAAAGTAAAGGCATTGGAAGCTTGCGTATCCTCGGCCAACGCCAACCTGACATGGAAGACGGCCGGGCCCACACCCGTCCGCTGGGCCGTCCTGGGAGACCAGGCTCCCAGAGAGCAGGACCAGGACGGGCCACCGACAGCGCCCTCTTTCCTTCTTTACTGGATCCGTAACTGGGAGGGAAGCAAGCCTTCCCTGGGTCCGGACCCTGTGCCGCCCAGAAGGGAGGCCAGCAGGCAGATAGCCACACGTCGCTCTCTCTCCTCTGCCCCCGGCGCCCCACTCCCACAGGGCCTGGTCCCAACACCTCCCCACGGGAGCCCGTGCCGCCAACGGCCCTCAGCGACTCAGTCCCCGGCTGTCATCAGCTCTGGCCACACCTGCCCCCATCCCGGTAGCAGCCCAAAGGGAGGGCCTGGGCCGTCACCCGGCCTGGGAAACTCAAGCTGAACGAAGTCACAGCTGCCTTTTGGCACCAAGGACTTGGACAGACGTCCAGAGGACTCTGAGGAGGGCCCCTAGTGGGCCACCTCGTGTGCCCTGAACGACTGTCCTCCTCCAGCCAACACCACATTGCGAGGTGGACAAGACAACCACACACACTGACATCCAGGAACTGTGGCGTCAGACAAGGCTGACAGGCCGCCTGACATTGGCGTGGACAGAAACCACCCGGTCGCCTTTGCGCACGGGTGAGTCGAGGACACCCGCGGTGGCCCGGCGGCCTACCGTAAACGGGGGTCTTGCCCGGCAGGATGACCACCACCAGCTGGAGGCCCGTGTAGGTGTTCTTCAGGTGCCGGAACATGGGCTCCACACTGTCCGCGCCCTGAGCATACTTGCAGAAGCACGGCTGGCCCTGGATCGGCATCCCCGCGTCCCTCGAGATCTTCCTGAGCTGCTCCGTGAAGGACCTGAAGGGGAAGGCGCGTCACGCCAGGAGTCTAACTGGGGTCCTGGACAGGCCACGCCCACACACCCACGTGTGAGCAAAGGGCGCGCACACAAGCAGCTCACGTGAAAGTCACTGCAAGGGCACCCAGCCTCCTTGCCACGGCAGAGCAGCAGACGGTGTCCGAGCTGCCTCCCCGCTGTGACCCCCGAGCCAGGGACGAGGCTGCCCACTCGGCAGGCCCACCCAGCCCTGCTCTGGTCCGGACACAGCCAGCGCGCACGCAGTGCACGCCACACCCTGGCCGCGGGGCACCGTTACTCTCCTGTGTACAACTTGGAGCCGTGGGTGAGACAACCATGGAGAAAACAGAACAGCCGAAGCTAGAGCAACACCAGCAGCTGCCACCGACCGGCCCCGGAGACACGGACGGGCGGGGAGGACATATCAGCAGCCTCTATTTTAAGCTCAGAAGTAAAAATGACACTGCCTTCTACAACGTGGGTAGAGACACCGAGATCCAGCCCAGCCTGTCAGTGCTCAGCCGTCCAACGCGAGTGCCGTTGAAGAAACCAACGTTTTGAATTTGTCTCCAGGTGAATTTCCCGGGACGAAGGGCCCAGGACAGAACACAGGGGGGCCGGGCCCAGATGCCGAGCCTCAGCCTGGCTCCCCGAGCCCTCCCCGGGGCGTGGGGACCAACAGCAGCCTCCCACGGGCAGCCTCTTGCCCTCCACCGGCTCTCAAGAGCGCTCTGGGAGCTACGCGTGTCGGAACACCCTCTGCTGAAATGTTTAGGGACCATGCTTCTCGGGTCTGTCTTTTCCTGTTACCCCCGAGGCAGGGCACGAGCTCTCTTCAACTCTGTGGCGCTGGGTGCCACTGCCAGGTCGGCTGCCTGGGTCACGTGGCCGCACCTGGGCCACCGGGCTGGGAGGGGCACGCTGCCCAGGGCCATCGGGCAAAGCCTCCGCTCCTGCGGACGACTTTTGATTACTCCCCTGGCCCAGGAAGGAAGAAGACACCGCCCAGCCCAGGCCTGTTTGACCTTCTTCCTCATTCTGGCTCCTTTTCCTTCTTCTAACACAGAAATATGTAGCTAAAGTGTGTTAGAAAATAAGCTTAGTTGATTAAGTCCAATTTTCTCTTTCGCTCGAATTTTGACACTCACTCTGGTTTGCTGTCTGCCCGGTGCTGTGCGCCTCTCCGAGAAGGAGCAGGGCTGAGCCCACACAGGAAAAGGCTGCCAATCCTGCCACCGAAGCCGGGCGTGCACCCCACTCCCAGCCGTCACTCCCCGCCCGTCCCAACCGGTGCCGGTCCGGGAGGCGCCTTACTTGAGGTGCACCTCCGTGCACTGGCGCTGGGGGGCGAAGCAGGCGATGGCCCACACCTTGATTTCAATGCCCGTGTGAAACTGCTTGTTCCTCATGTCCCAGACGCCCTGGACAGGGGTGGCAATCGCTTTATTCTGCAGACGGCAAGATGTTCAGAGTGAGAAAAAACGGGGACCATATTCCTCTGACCTTGGATTTTGTTCTATCCACACTGCTGGGGTCCCCTGACCAGACAGTGGTTCCTGAGACTAAGAACTGAATCCTTGGGTTGTTGCCCGTCTCCCTGTGCCCAGCACTGCAGGTGGTCCTGACACTGCAGGACAGGTGGACGGATGGATGGGGGATGGACAGGTGGGGGACGGAGAGGAAGAGGTAGGAGGAGGATGGAGGGATGGTGGATGTGGGATGGACAGATGTACAGATGGGTCAATGAGGAGGTGAAGGGAAGACGGGGGGATGGGCGGGAGCACCCCTTCAATGAGGACAAAGACACTAAACAACGAACGTGAAACCGTCTCTAAGATTCTTATGGGCTCTAAGAAAAACCACTAAGTAAAAAAGCCAGGTGCAGAAGGTATTCAATATGTCACCTGCAGAAGGAGTGGAAAAAATCCGCGGCCCATCCCTGGACAAGTTTACAGAGGAGAAAGATAACCCACTGCCCCTGGGGAGCCACCGAGAGCTAAGAGACTTCCTGCAATTCTGAGTTACAAAACATTTAAAACACTCATATTTAAAATATAAAAGGAAAAGACCCTATAAACAAAACTAAACCTTGTAGAAGTCCTGAGGACTAACCCCCCTGAGGGAACACTGCACCAGGCAGGATGGCACCGTCAGCGGAGCTCAGCCGGGGTCTCTGACACCAGGCCCCCAGGCGGCCCCCACCCCAAGGTGCTGTGCTCTGTACCCGGAGACAAGCCAAGAGGGAGAGACCCGGCCCATGAGCCCTGCAGGGCTTGGTGGTCAGGACGCATTTGCCACTAGGGTCAGCTAGGGTCAGCGGGCAGAACCTCACGCCCACGTGACTGATGGCTGGACCTGCTGCCGGGCACCTCCCAACAGCAAAACGCAGAAAGGGGGGCCTCCGGAGAGGAACGCACTGCGGGCCGAGCACCCACCACACAGGGAGACTGCTTCTGAATTCTTTGTGGGTTAACAGAAGTCACCCTTTGAAATATCAAGGTTAATCCTGAGAAATTTCATAAAGGCCAGGAAAGCCGGGCCTCTATGAAGCCCCCCAACTCTCAGGCTCCACCTGAACCATGGTCTGCACCTTGGGGACGGCTCCGACCAGGCAGGGTCACACACTGCCACTCCCTGTTCGACATGCAGACCCATGTGCCCGACACCCAGGAAGTGCCCGCCTGGCCAGCCGGTACGTACCCGGCCCCCATAGAGGATGGAGGGGGGCTGCAGGACCCGCCCGGTCACGTCCGTCATCTCGTCTTTGACCATGATCCCGAATTCCCGGACATACGGATCTGTGTTAAAACTGGCACTTCTCATCTTGAGAAGGAGAGAAAACAGGCAGAGTTGGAGGCAGTCTGTGCTTCTCTCCAGAAGCTGTGCCTGCCCCAGGCCCCTGGGCACCCGCCCTGGGCACCCGCACTCACCAGCTTGCTAATCTCTTCTTGCCGATCAGGCGCTGACCTGGCAGTTGCTCTGATCATGGTTGAGGTCTGATTGTCGGTCAACTTTTTTATGCATCTCTGTCCCGCCACAATGTTACAGACCTACGAAGAAGGCGGCCGCCGCGCATCAGCACCAGGGCTGGGGGAGGCGGGGGCCGCTGGCTCTGCCTGGGCCGGGGGAACGGCGCACCTGCTGCGCTGCTCCGGGCAGGCGGCCGACGGCAGAGCCCCAGGTGAACCCCACGGAACCCAAGCCCGTGCCAGGAACTGACTGGTGAGAAAGCACAGCCCCGAGACCACCCCCAGTGGCTGTGTCTCGGCGTGGGCTTTGTGGCCTCTGTCCTCACAGTGGGGGACGCAGGCAGAGCTGCCCGCTGCTGGGAGGAAGTCCACCTCAGGACCACAGCACGGGAAAACCAAACCTCGTCCCGGTGCTGGGTGGACTGGAAGTTTCCTGACCAGCCCGAGGGATGTCAGGGAGGGGGACTTGCCTCTAGGGGAAGGTAGGTGTGTTTCTGCTCCTGTCCAACTTGTAAACATGGGAGGTGGGGGTAGCGCAGAACCAGCTTGTGCCTGTCCTTGAAGTACTGGGCCACCGTGCACTCCACTGTCTGCCCGCTCTCCTGCTGCAGCGGGAATCTGGGGGAACAAAGAGGTGCCCAGGGCCCTTGGAACAGCGGCAGCGCCCTGCACACGCCTGTCACCCGGGCTGCCAGCATGGGTTGGCCCTCAGGGAGGTAACACATGGGACCAACAGTCGAAGCCCCTCCCGGGTCATCGGACCATTCCCAAGCCCCTAACCTTTCGCTTCACCTCTGCAGTTGGGAAATAAAAACACCTGCGTGCCTACACTGCACAGGGACCCAAACGACATGCGTGGCTGCGTGGCCACGGGCCGGGCAGGTGCAGCCCAGCCCGGAAGGAAAAGCCTCGGTGTCTAGCTGGCGAGGACACAGTGACTGAAAGTCGGTCAGGACCCAGGGCCCCAGGAGTGCCTGGGCACCTGACACCTCCCGGGCCAGCCAGGGCTCCCGGGGCCGCCCACGTGGGGGCAGAGGCAGGAGAGGGAGCAGGCGAGGCCGGTGTGCGGGGTGGGGGGCAGGGGTGCCAGACCAGGCACGCCCCGAGGGAGGACAAGAAGTGAACGAGCAGCGCTCAGGGGGCCAGGAGACCCCGTGGGGTTTGGGGGCCACAACATCACTTCTCCCCAAATGGACACAAACAATGTGGGACGCCCCCTCCTGTGGCCAGGCTCATTACTACACGGCTTTGGATGCTGAACTCGTGAGTGAAGTCAGGGCAGAGACACAGCGTAAGGGGGGGGGCATGTCCAAGAATCGGGGCGACGCCCACAGACCCCCTGCCTCCCAGCACCGCTCGCACTGAGGCTCAGAGTGGAAAAGCCCCTTCTCTCTAAGGCCACGTAAGGAGAACCGGCAGGGAGTCCCCCCCACCCCAGTGGGCCCCATATTTCACGTCACTAGGCAGTCTGGAATCCACCGAGCTGAAGGTGGCGCTCTGGAGACTTAAAACTGCCCTGAAATCGTTTTTCCACTAGAGCCCGTTCCCCAGCTGGGGCCTCGGCTGCCAGAGGGTCGGGGACGTGGCGGGAGGAGGCGGTTACGTTTGGTGGCTGGCGGGCCGCCGGGTCACGTTGCAGACGCGGTACTTCCTCTTCATCTGCCCACAGTGCGTGATCTCCACCTTCAGACCTGTGACAGAGCCGTGCGCCGGGTCAGGACAGCCCGGCGGCAGCACGAGCCTGCGTCCCCACCGCTGCGTGCCCAGGAACAGCTGCCGGGCCCACGCCGGGCATTCTGGAGCCGCAGGGCCCCACCCTCTGCCCCAGCAGGGCCAAGGCCCCAGTCCGACGCTGACCCTGAAGAGGTGGGCCGTGCGGGCGCAGCTACAGGCTGGTGTCGGCCGCCTCGGCTCTGTGCCCTCCTGAGTTATATTTAGCACCAGTGCTGGGCCCGGCCCTCAGAACACCCCCAGGAAAGCACCGGTGCAGGGGGCCGGGGCCAGGCCACCGAGCCCCGGACGCGTCTGCCCGAGTGGCCGGCAGCCAGGGGCGGACGGCGCCCCGGGAAACCGACTACGGCCAGCTCTGCTCTGGCCCGAGGTCGCTAACCGAACCCTCGGCCCACACGCCTGGCGGTGGCCCCGCCGCCCTCCGCCCCTCGGCCAGCTACCTACCTTTGATTTCTTTGGTAAACTTGACCCTTTGGGAATCTGTCAGAGGTTTTTGTTGTTCTTCAATACTTTTAAAATCCAAAACTTCACAAACAAACTCGATTACTGGCTGTGCTTTATAAAACGCTGTTGCAGAGACTGGAGGCGGGAGGGAGACAAAGGCAGGAGCGTGAGGGGCTCGGCCGCTGAGGGGGGGCACGGCCCTGTCCTCAGCCTCCGCCAAGCCCACCATCAGGCCCTGGACGTGGGTACAGCCGGGGGTGGGGGTTCGCGCCTGGTCACGGGCTGCCTGATAGGCCCTCCCGTCAGGGGCTGCTTGAGGGGCTGCTAGAATCTAAAGTCACCCTCTGAGATGAGAACTAGGTTTAAAACAAACCCCAACATCATAACCATAAAGGTCGAACTTCCTGGTGTAAGTCACTCTGAGGTGACCATGCCACGGGGGACCAGCCTGAGGAGCACACAGGAGATAAAAGGACCTGGCAGCGGGGTGCCCACTCACCACCCCCAAGAAAACCGATCTCACCCAGTGGACACCGGCTGCAGGGTCTGGGACCCTGTTAGAGACCCAGCCCCCAGCCCCCAACCCCACCTCGGGGTAGGCCTAGCAGGTGGCTCTGGGCTCCACCCGAGGACCCCCGCCCTGCCCTGGCGACAGGCGAGACCGGCCAGGTGCGACACGGCAGCTCAGCTCCGGCAGAAGCTGTACTTGGAGCTGGCCGCATGGGCCCTCCCCAGGCCTTGGTCCCACGATGAAAACCAGGCTCTGCTCACCATCAATGTTCAGCATCATTTTCCAAAGAGAAGGGCGGACAGACTGATGGAAGCCAAACCACACTTCTCGGCCCCCGCCCAGGGGGTTGGAGCAGCCCTCGGACGCAGTGAAGAAGGAGCGGCCCACGGGCGTGTACCTGCAGTCAGAGACCCTGGTTGATGGGGGGGGGGGGGGACGACACGGACACGGGCCAGGCCTGCCCCCCGTCAGCCCAGCAGGCGCCCAGAGGGGCAGCCTCAGGCACACGAGGCCTCGCTGCAGGGACAGTGAGAGGCTCAGTGCCCACAGGCGGGCACACAGAGAACGTTCTCTGCGGAGCTGGGCTCCAGCTCAGACACATGGCCACAGAGACGGCCACAGAGACAGCCACCGGGACGTGCTGTGGCTGCACGTCCCTGCTGCGCCGCGGGACCCCTCCACATCCGCCCCCGGCCATCCTCCCACGCCTCTCTCTGCGCAAAGCACGTCACGCCCTTGAGCAGGGCGCTGTGGCTGCACCAGTGCAGACAGGGGCGGCGTCCGCCACGTGCCAGCCACAGCCGGGCTGAGGGCTGCCCAGGGCCAAGGGCCACGTCAACGCAGCACCAGGCCCTCCACTCCCAACTCACCAGCTCCCTCCACGGAGCCACCTAGTTTCAGGGAGGGGACAGCAAGGCCACACCCACGAGGGGCCACCTGGCGAGGCAGGCACAGCGCCAGTGCAGTGACATCGGCAGCGCCCGGCCACCGGCAGCATCTCTGGGGACTCCCAAAGGACAGAGCGCTTGCTGCCCCGGCTGGTGTGGCTCAGCAGTCAGAGCATCAGCCCGTGGACCAGAGAGCCCCAGGTTCGGTTCCCGCTAGGGGCACATGCCCTTTGTCCCCGTGTGGGTGGCGGCCGCGCGATGTTTCTCTCTCTCTCTTCCTCCCTCTCTACCCCCTGCTCTGTCTGAAGATAAATGTAAAAAGTGTCCGTGGGTGAGGACACAATAAGTAAATAAATAAATAAGAAGAAAAGGACAGAGTGCTGCTGGTGGCCAGGCACCCCTGCCGGGGACAGCCTGCCCTGCTGTCAGCCTGTCTGAGCCTGAGCCCACCAGGCTCCCCCCAAACTCTCGCACAGCACTTCAGCTGCCTCCTCTCACCCTTACAAAGGAACAATAGACGCCTCGCTCCCCTCAAACCCCAGCGCTTCGGCCGGTTAGGCTGTGCCCCTGCTGGAGCAGTTCCCCAGGCTCCGCTGTGCGGGGCAAGCGGAAGGCACAGGCGTCCCAACCCAGGGGCCGGGCAGCCCCGCCCAGCCAGCCAGCACGTGCCACGTGGGAGGGTCACTGCCCCTGGTGGTGAGAGTGAGCCGCAGGACCCACGGAAGTCCGATGCACGCAGGCGCGCCCTGCAGTCCGAACAGGCCCCGTGGGCGGAACGTGGACGCTATTCCACTGTGACAAGTCCCAGGCGTGAAGCCGCAGAGAAACAGCAGCGGCCTCAGCACCGGCGCAGGCGCACAGGGAGGCAACCTTTCTGCGCTCGGTTGAGAACCCCAGACACTTTCCTACATTAACGCCCTCCCCCACATTAGCACGGCTGCTATTTCCATGACACAAACCCACACGACCAGCACCCGACCCCAGGACCCAGGTGCCACCCACAGACCGTCCTCACCTCATGGAGGGCAGGTGCCTCATGACCACGTCCAGGGCCTGGATCGTCTCAAAGGGGACGCTGGGCAGCCGCCCCGAAAGTGCATCGTGTAACGCCTGCAAGCTCACACAGGACACCCACTTGATGGACACCTTGAAGATGCGGTCCTTCCCTTCCCCTGGTAGCGTGACCTCCAGCTCCACCTGCAGGGCCAGAGCGCATGGTTATCACGCTGCCCGAGGGCCAAGGCGGCGGGTCAGCTTCCAGAACACTCTGGGTTGGGGCAGCTCGGTCGTCCTTATCCAAGCACACACTCGAGGGGCACACACGCCCCTGAAGCCTACCAGCACAGCGACTGCTAGGACTGGGACTTCTCCCTGCCGCACCCCGTTATCGGTGCCCACACGCCCTGTAGCACACAGCACCATCATGCCTGGTGCCCCAAACTGGGAGTGGCCGGAGGCCCCCAGGGAGGACAGAGCTGGAAAAGGAACAGGTGCTTCTGGGGGGCTGGGTGCCAGGCACCCTACTGAGGGAAGAAGGGAGGCGGAGGACCAGGCGCAGAAGACAGTGCCAGACTCTCCCGGCAGCTGCACAGCACCAGCCGGGCACACACAGCTGGCAGGACCTGCGCAGAGAGGGCCAGGGCGCCTGCGTCCCCAGGCAGGGCCGTGGGGTGGGGGGTCATGGGGAGCACCTGGGAACTTGGGGGGAGAAGATACTTCTTGGCCTGGATGGTGGGTACGTGGAATTTGTTTTACTTTTTGTTTTTCTTTAATGATTTTAGAGAGGAAGTAAGAGGGAGAGAGAAACATGGATGAGAGAGAACATCGATTGGCCGCCTCCTGCACGCCCCGCACTGGGGATCTGGCCCACAACCTGGGCATGTGCCCTGACCGGGAATCGAACCGGTGACCTCTTGGTGCAGGGTCCACGCTCAACCAGAGCCACACTGGCCGGGCTGTGGAATTTGTTTTATTACTGCTCTTTATTATATATACTTTTTTATTTACTGTACTTTATAATTAAAGTTTAAAAAATCATGTAGAAGTAATAATAACTGAAAGTCACCATTTTACATGGTTCCAATCAAGTGGCAGGCGTTGTGGAATCTGCCCAACAACCTGCCAGGCTGCGCTGCTTCACCCTCCGTCAGGGAACGGAGCCCAGGAGGCTGGGCGAGTGGAGCCAGGTCACACGCAGAGAAGGCGAGTGTCCACTTCGGACGGTCCGACGCCAGGAGGGGACACGGCCGCGGCCCGGCTCCCACGGCGGCGGCGGGCGCGCGCGGGCCGCCCGTTCAGAAGTGGCAACGCCGAGAACATGGCGACCACGAAGGGAAATGTCAGCTCCCTCCCGGCCACACAGCAGGCGTCTCCACCCGCACTGCTTGGCGCAGCTGCAGAACGCGTCCGTGCGGTCACCCTGAGGGCGCCAAGGGCCCTGGCCGGTGTGGCTCGGCAGGTAGAGCGTCGGCCTGTGGACCAGTCGCGGGTTCGATTCCGGACAAGGGCACGTACCTCAGTTGCAGTTTGTCCCCAGCCCTGGTCGGGTGGTGCAGGAGGCAACCAGTCGATGTGTCCCTCTCACACTGATGTTTCTCTCTCCCCCCCTTTCTCTCCCTCCCACCCTATCTTAAGATAAATAGAAAAATATCCTCGGGTGGGGATTAAAAAGAAAGAACTGCCTGATGGAACTGAGGGGCATTCAGGGGGGCACATTTTCCTTTAGCAGAAGATCCTCACATCTTTCAACGCAGTCCAATCCAGCCCCCTCCTGGCCCCATGAAGGGAGAAGCAAGCCCAGGCCCTGCAGTTCTGTGCCAGGCACGACGCGTAGGGCTGACCGGGGCCTGCATCCGGCAGCGCGGGGACCGCACGGGGCAGGGTGGCACTGGGCTTTGGCTGTGACATGCGGCTGAGAACATTCCATGTGTCTGGGCTGCTGGCCAGCAGTGCTGGTCCCTGACCCAAGACTCTCTCAGTGCAGTACCACGGCACCGACCGGAGGTCCCCGGGACACGGGCTCCCAGCTCTGTGATCCCTGTGGTCTGACCGCGGGCAGGTGGTGGCATCGGGCGCCCCAAATGTATTTGCTCCCCAAATAGGGCAAGAGGACGGCCTGCCCACCTCACAGAGCCCCCGGGAGGACCGTCTGTGACATGGGACACTGTTACTGCTGTCATCTGAATGCAGACGACCAAGAAGTTGGCAAACAGCACCGACCCCGGGCCTGGGACATGGCCAGCCCTGGGAGGCTCCATCTCTGCAGACAGACCTCAGCCCCACACCAGCCCTTGGTCTGAAAGTCGCCAGCCAGCGCGACGGGATCAGCATCGTAGCAGAGTCCAGCCGGGGACAGCAGGGAGACAGTGCGTGAGGACACCAGGACGCGGGGAGCCGCGAGCGCCGGGGACCGGCTGTGTCCCCGTCTGGGCGTCCTGTCTAGAACTCCGCAGAAGCACCGGCAATGCTGGTGGGGCCCCAGGGCAGAGCAGGGGGCTGCTCCGCTCGGTGTAAGGGACCCCTGCTGAGTACCTCCGACCTGGCCCGCCTGGGTCCAGGGCACCCCGACACACGCAGCTTCACTGGAAGGACCCTCAGACCCGAGAGGCAGCAGGTCAGCCCCAAAGAACAGGCCGGCTGAGCAGCCCCTCCCTGTGTCACCCGAGGAGGGCTCCCTGCCCCCAGCCGCCTGCCCTCAAAGCTCCGGACCCTGCGCACACAGAGGCTTCCTGCCCTGCTCGGCACCTGTCATTGCAGGTCAGCAGTCGGGCCCAATGCCCGGTCGACGGCCGCACAGGCGGGAGCACCAGGCGGTGGTTTCTTGGGAGGTTGTCTCCCCCTTGGCGCCGCCTCTGCACAGGGGCTGTTTGTGATTCCAGGGGTACATCCGGCCTAACGTGCTCCCCTCTGTGCGGTGTTGCCGCTGAAACAGGCCCAGCAGCTAAACCTATGCAGCTCTTGTCTCCTGTCCAGAGAAGTGAGGCGCTGGCCGGGGGGTTTCAGCCCTAACAGATGCTTCTCTCCCCACACGGTGCTGGTTCAGGCTAGGGGGCTAGTCTTTCAGCAGGAGAGACGGAGGAGATGACAGCTGCTTTTGTGAGGGCCACGGGCCACAGCCACCGGGCTCACAGGACAGACACGCAGGGGTTTTCTCTTACTACAGAAGTGTCCACGATACAAAGGAAAGTATAGAGAAAGGAAAAGATGGCCCTTGGCTACGAGATGCGAACATATAGGGAGAGAAAAGCAGTGACCTCTTATTTTGGTTCTCAAGAGGTTACTTTCTGCATGTCACGACCACGGGACAGAACTTTAAGAATGAGTGGCGGGTGCTCTGACGCCAGCTTCTCGGGTGAGGGTGTCCGGGCTTAAACTGCGGAGACACCTGAGCGCCCGCCAGGTGTTGGGTGGTACGCAGGCGGGGTGCCTGCAGGCACGGGGCAGTACCACATGGGTGAGGATGACAGATACGGGTCCCTTAGACCCCGAGAACTCAAAACATGACTTCGGACCAGCAGCAAAGACTTAGGAGCTGGTGAGAGACGCTGAGGCCCTGGAGACCCAGGACTGCAGGAAGCGCTAAGGGGAAAGCTCTTCTGGGGGCGCACCCACATTCCACTCACACAAGGACCTGGGAGGCAGCTTCTATGCAACCTCCCCATTTCACAGGTGCGGCAGCTGAGGCCAGCAAGGTGAGGCGGCTTACCCAGGGCGCCCACGAGGAGGACGAAGCAAGGACTCGGATCAGACCTGCTTCTACCCTGGAGGCGCAGTTCACCTCCACAGGGAAGTGTCTCAGACTGGAAGGGCACAGAGACTCCCCCAAGGAAAATATTCCTCGGCACCCCCAGTGTGGAATTATAAACGTGTACAGACAAAACTGAGAATAAACTCCTTATGGTTTTCTTTCTTACGCAACTTTAAACAAAAACAAATGTGCAAATTAAGCACAAAGCCTTATAATCAATGCATTTCAAACGCACAGAGTGCTGCTTTGCAGGGTGCTCGCCGGTGGCACAGGCGCGGAGCCCTGGCACTCCCCCAAATCGGGACCTGGTCTCCATCGCCCTGGCCAGTGTGCGGTGCTATCTGCTGCTATCTCTGTCCCGAGGGCCCTCGGCACAGCTCTTATCACCTCCAGCCTCACCCCAGCCCTAACGATCTCTCCTCTTATCAGCCCAAGGAGCCAGAACCACCCGGCCTGCTGGCCACCCAGATGGGGGGGAAGGAGCTTACTCTTTTTAAAATGATCATTAAGATTCGAAAGCACAAATGTACAAAGCCGAAGAGAGTCACCGACAGCAGTGAGACCGCTGGCTCTGGTCTACCCGCCTCGGGGAGCCGGCATTGAGGAGCTAAGTGTGCCGCGGAGGGTCTGCCTCGGAGGGAGCCAGCTCTCGCCTCCCCTAAAGTCCGTGCGAAGACTGTTCCACACTGAGCCTCAGCCCATCTGCGAGCCAGGAAGCCACAACCCCAGACACGCCTACTTCCCAAGCGAGCCCGTGAGGACAAAGACCCCGAGGAGAGGTGCCAGCGACGCAAGCAGAGCCCCTGACTTTCTGCTCTGACCATTATTTCAGGTGCAATTCGACTACTGCGGCCAAATGTCAGCTTTGCTGGACGGCCGGGGCCACGGTCACCCCCCCCCCCCCCTGCGGCACGTGAGCACACGTCTCCTCAGCGTGTGTCCCCACCACGCAATCCGGGCTCGCTCTGCCCGGGGCGGTGCACCTGCGTGGGCCTCTGTTTCACATTTAAAACCCTAGTGGTTTCAAGACGCCCTCAACTCCTGTCTCTGGGTGCGGACAGCTTAACCGTCCGCAACCGCGAGCCAGGGCTCCCAGAAGGCAGCCCCGAGGGACTGACGGTGAAGCACGGAGCCGGCCGGTGCTGGGACGACCGCCCTGCCCTTCCCGCCCGGGCCCAGCCGGTCTCCGTGAACTCACCTTCTCCCTCCCGATCGGAAGGGGCATGGCCGTGTAGAGGTTCTTCCTCCCGTCGAACACTGGCTTCCGGTCTCCGAAGATCTGCGTTTTAAAGTGCTGGACCATATGTTCCACTATCTCCCTGAAACAAGACAGATGTGAGTGAAGCTCAATACGATCAGAGAAAAGGCACTTCCAACTTTCTCGGGGGAAGAATCCACCAGAAACCTGAGTGGGTTCATCTCGTCCACTGCATCCTTCAGACACCACAGCACCAGCCACTGCGGCTGCAGACACGGACGGCAGGAGCCCCGGGACTACCGGGGGCCCCCAGGAGAGGATTGCGGGGAGCAGGAACACCCCGTCCCCAAAGCTGGAGGCTTGGGTGCCACGTGCTTTGCCGTGAGGCTCTGCAGGCCACCCCCTGGGCACAGAGGGCAGTCCCTACCCTGACGACATCGGGTGCTGGCTCTGCTGGGCCTGGCTTTGCTCGCAGTCAGAGGTGCTCAGGGGGTTCATGTGGTCCCTGCAAGAACTCGCCCCGGGGACTGCGGCCCTCAGGCTGAGCTCCAGAATACAGACCCTGAATGTGACTCAGAGCCCCAGCCAGCCCAGTCCCACCACAGCCCCCCTTGGGCTGGGAGTGCCCAGCGGGGTCTGCTGCCGGCCACTGACACTCGGGGGCTGTGTGTCCCTCGGGGACTGCAGCCACAGACCCCGAGAGAGAGCACGCAGAACTGCTCTGCCGCAGCTCTGGGACACCAAGGGGAGTCGCAGCCCTCCCTCAGCAGAGGCCCAGATGCACACTCTGGGGTGACCAGAGCCCCCCATAGCCCGGCTGGCTCTGCTCCCTGCTCCGAGCGCCCACCGACACCTCTGCCAGCATCTCGGGGAGGCATGAGGCCCTTCAATCCAATGCCCGAACACCCGACGCTCTTGCACAGGGCGCCTGACAAAGGGCAGGCCGGAAAGGCCCTGACCCCGCCTGGCCCGAGGCCCTCGTAAAAACCTGTGAAGAGCTGATAGCCAGCCAGCAGCCTCAGAGGCTCAAAATCTCGTCCAGTATCAGGAAAAGGCGGCTCCCTCCTGGGACATGGCAGGAGAGAGAGGAATCCTGACCGCAGGGACGGGGAGGAAGTCCGAAAGACCGACCCGCGGTGGGCCCAGAGCCCGGCTCTGCGGGAAGGGCTTCTCCCCGGGCGGAGCCGTGGCCGTCTCTCAGGCAGCGACAATCCAACCCTCCCCACCTCTCAGGGCGCAAGAAAAGCTGGCTGAGCCGGCTTCCCGCCTTCACCAGGCTTTGCCACGGCCTCCCTAGGACCCAGCCAATCCTGCCCCAAAGCCCCTGTGCCTGGAGTCCTTGGGGCAGACGACCCTCTCCACACATCTTCGATGGCACCACCAGAAGGCACCAGGCCTCCGATCCCCCCCCTCCCAGGAGATCACAGCCCCGCAGGCCCAGAGCCCAGAACCTCCAACCAGCCCCCACCTCAGCCGTTCCTGCCGGCAGCCAGACCACCCTCACCGGGGGCACCTCAACGCACCGTCTCCAAACCACTGCCCCCGCCTTCACGGACCCATCTTCACAGTCAAGACTTCACGACGGACGCAGGGCCAGCCGGCTCCACGGGGCAGTGCCACCCGCATTCAAAGAACAGCTCATCCCACCAAACCTGGTTCACTGGGAGCAGAACTAAGGGCACAGGCCGCCACGCAGTCTGCGCGGCTGACCAGCCCCGACCCCGAGACCCGACGGGGCGCTGCTCGCGGCCGGGTCCAGCAGACGCGGGAGAACACGCGGGAGGACACGCGGGAGGACACGCGGGAGGGCACGCGGGAGGACACGCGGGAGGACACGCGGGAGGACACGCGGGAGGGCACGGTCAGGGCCAGGCCGCGGCGTGGAGCTCGGTGTGGACTCTGCAGCGGCAAAGCCCTGGCCCTTCTGGGAGGAAACCGAAGAGGAGAACCTGTGCCGAGCCCGGGCAGACGGGCTCTCAGGGCAGTGCCAGCTGGAGAACGAAAAACCGGACTTCAGAAAAACTAAAAACGTTTACTCTTAAAAGACACCTTTATGAAGAGGAAAAGGCAAGCCACTAACTAGGGAAAACATTAAAAAAAACCATGTATCTGACAAAGGACCCGCACACACATGTAAACATGCTTACAACTCAGTAGGACACACAACCTAACTTTACAAAACGGGTGAGTCCCTGCCAGTGTGGGTTAGAGCGTCGGCCTGTGGACAGAAGGGTCACGGGTTCGATTCACAGTCGGGGGCACACACCTGGGTTGCAGGTTTGATCCCTGGCCCTGGCTGGGGTCCTGTGGGAGGCAATCGATCAATGTGTCTTTCTCACATCAATGTTTCTCTCTCCCTCCTTTTTACTCTAAAAATCAATGGAAAAATATCCTGGAGTGAGCATTAACAAAAAAAATAAGAGATGGGTTAAAGATTCGACAAGAAATATTACAAAAAAGGATACAGAACTGGCCCCTAAGGACATGAAAAGATGCTCATCACCAGTCACCAGGGAGACACTAGTGAAAGCTGAGACACGGAACACACCCACCAGAAGGGCTCTGGTTAGACGGCCACACACCCGCCACGGGTCACCGAGCTGGGAACCAAGGTCCACGTACATACACCACACAAGACAAGAAAACACAGAACCGCCAGCACCTAGGCCCACATGTTTATAAATAGCCCTGAGCTGGAAGCATAAATGCCCATCAACTGTGAACGAATGAATCACAGCCCTGACGACAGGGTGGTCACTGTGCTCAGGACCCACCAGCCCACGCACAGGCGCCGTCTCTGTGGCAGTGGGCACGGCGACCGTCGGCAGGATGATCTTTGGGGCGGGGGGGGTGTAACAGCAGAGGACTAACTGAAAAGCTTGGGGGTCATCAGAATGCCCCACACCTTGACTGAACATGTGTATACATTTCTAAAGCTCACACAACTATACGTAAAATCAACGTGTTTGTTGTACGTGACTATATCTCAAGTTGATTCATATTTTAAACACCAAATGTAAAAAAATTAAAAATTATGATCCTCTCAAAGATATAGGAAAAAGGCACTTAATAAAATCCAATACCCATTCACAATGTGTTTTGGGTGAGCAAACGAGGAACAGGGGGAAACGCCCGTCCCCTGGCGCCCCCTGCGGCCGCGGGCGCGTCCCCACAGCAGGTAAGAACGGGGATGGGCTGTGAAGAAGGGACACTGGCCCTGGCCGGTGTGGCTCAGCAGTTAGGCCCAAAGAGTCGTGGGTTCCATTCTGGTCGAGGGCACCTACCTCGGTTGAGGCTCGGTCCCCGGGCCTGGTCGGGGTGGTGCCGTAGCCGTGTTTCTCTCTCATCGACGTTTCTCTCTCTGCCCCCTCCCTCCCTCTCTCTCTGAAAACAAATGGGAAAATATCCTCGGGTGAGGATTTAGAAAGAAGAAAAGCTACCGTGCTCATGATGCCGCTCGTGACGCGAGGACTGTACTCGCTGAAGATCCAGACACCCGACCGGGACACTCGGAAGTGGCAGGCAGGCCCCTCCCTTCCCTGACGCCACCGGGGCGCAGCACGGTGGCCTCCGCACTCCACCGGGAGCCACCGCACACATATCCCCAGGGCTGAGTCTTCATCCATTCACGGGTTCGCTCATCCCCGCTCCCGGGGAGGGGGAGGGGCGGCAGGCCCGCGGAGACCCGCCTCAGCACCCACGCCCAGGAGACCGGATGTGGGCAGAGGCGCGGGAAGGCGCTGGGAACTGACAGGCAGGAGCAGCTTCTGCCCCATCCTCTGGGCCTCTGAAAAGCCAAGATTCCCCCAACGCTTCGCTTTCTGGCAGCGAACACGGGGTCACATTCTCCCTTCTCCTGGGAGACGGCCCTGGGCTGTGGCCACTCTGATGTCAGTTTCTGATAACAGCGGAGGGACCTCTGAGTGCTCCGGCCACACAGGACAGAAGTGTATGGCGATACAGATGCAGATTATTTTATTACCCAGTGTGATGTAGTTATCAACAAAGATGCGACGTGCTCATGTTTCCAGAACCAGCGGCCACCCTGTACCCCGAATCCCCCTTGAACCTAGTCCCAGATTCTAGGAGAGCCCAGCCCCGGGGCTTCTCTGCCCGGAGACTGGACAGTGAGGAGTGGATTCAGTGGGAGTTAAACTTGCAGGAACGAGGGACAGGGGAAAACTAGTTCCAAGGGGCTCACACACATCTTTCCTTTATGAGTGGGACACACCATAACATGCTAAAAGGCAAAACAGAGCAACCAGCGAACATACCACACTCATGGACTGTCAGACTCCATTCTCACCGAACCAATGCGCTCTTCCATGCCATGAAGATCAGAGTGGTTTATTTTTATTTGCTGGAATTCAATGAACTAGTTCTAAAATGTGGTTCTAAATAAAGACAAAGGCCAGGACACTCTCCAGACGGTCAAGGTGGACATGTAAAGCCACAGACACAGATGGTTTGCTGCTCAGCTGGGACAGACAGGAGACCTCCGGCAGAACCAAGGACCCAGAAGAAGACCATGGGCGAGAGGACATTTCCTTTACGACAGCAGCAGCAGGAGAGAACAGAGCTGAGGCAACCAGGCACCTGGTATTCAAAGCAGAAAGATGGAGCCCATGCACCTGAAATGCTCGTTAACACTGAAGCTGACAACCCCCTCACACAGCAAACTGTGGGGCAGGAGTCACCAGGAATATCTGTGCAAGGAGGAGGCCGCTCGACCATCACAGCTAGGCCACGCCCTGACAGGTGACAGAGCCACCTGGCCACCACATGAACCAGGGGAGGTGCCCCTTACCCACGCACTGCCCCGCCTCCGTGTCCATTTCTGTGTGGGTGACGGTGCTATCACGCTGTCACCAGTTTCGCACTGTGCACACAGGGGTCACTCTGCTTAATTTTTATCACAGGATGGCAGCTAATTCTAAAATGTGGAGGTCCCTTGACTCCATTGACACAGACCAACTCCAAGACCTCCCTCCCTCTCTGTGTCTTTCTTTGTTTTAATTTTGGTAATGACTAGCTCACATAAAGCATGCCATTTCGGTCATTTCTAAGTGCACAGGTCAGCAGCACTGATGTCCAGCCATCTCCACCACCCAGCTCCAGAAG